ATCCTTTATTAGCCACCATATAAACACACCAAGCATTTCCCCCTTGTCCATCCTTTATTAGCCACCATATAAACACACCAAGCATTTCCCCATTGTCAATCTGTATTAGCCACCATCTAAACAAACCAAGCATTTCCCCCTTGTTCATCCTTTATTAGCCACCATATAAAAACACCAAGCATTTCCCCCTTGTCCATCCTTTATAAGCCACCATATAAACACACCAAGGATTTCCCCCTTGTCCATCCTTTAATAGCCACCATATAAACACACCAAGCATCTTCCCCTTGTCCATCCTTTATTAGCCATGATATAAACACACAGCATTTCCCCCTTGTCCATCCTTTATTAGCCACGATATAAACACACCAAGCATTTCCCCCTTGTCCATCCTTTATTAGCCACGATATAAACACACAGCATTTTCCCCTTGTCCATCCTTTATAAGCCACCATATAAACACACCAAGCATTTTCCCCTTGTCCATCCTTTATTAGCCACCATATAAACACACCAAGCATTTCCCCCTTGTCAATCTTTATTAGCCATCATCTAAACACACCAAGCATTTCCCCCTTGTTCATCCTTTATTAGCCACCATATAAACACACCAAGCATTTTCCCCTTGTCCATCCTTTATTAGCCACCATATAAAAACACCAAGTATTTTCCCCTTGTCCATCCTTTATTAGCCACCATATAAAAACACCAAGCATTTCCCCCTTGTCCATCCTTTATTAGCCACCATATAAAAACACACAGGATTTCCCCCTTGTCCATCCTTTATTAGCCACCATATAAAAACACCAAGCATTTTCCCCTTGTCCATCCTTTATTTGCCACCATATAAACACGCCAAGCATTTCCCCCTTGTCCATCCTTTATAAGCCACCATATAAACACACCAAGCATTTCCCCCTTGTCAATCTTTATTAGCCACCATGTAAACACACCAAGCATTTCCCCCTTGTCCATCCTTTATTAGCCACCATATAAACACACCAAGCATTTCCCCCTTGTCCATCCTTTATTAGCCACCATATAAACACACCAAGCATTTCCCCATTGTCAATCTGTATTAGCCACCATCTAAACAAACCAAGCATTTCCCCCTTGTTCATCCTTTATTAGCCACCATATAAAAACACCAAGCATTTCCCCCTTGTCCATCCTTTATAAGCCACCATATAAACACACCAAGGATTTCCCCCTTGTCCATCCTTTAATAGCCACCATATAAACACACCAAGCATCTTCCCCTTGTCCATCCTTTATTAGCCATGATATAAACACACAGCATTTCCCCCTTGTCCATCCTTTATTAGCCACGATATAAACACACCAAGCATTTCCCCCTTGTCCATCCTTTATTAGCCACGATATAAACACACAGCATTTTCCCCTTGTCCATCCTTTATAAGCCACCATATAAACACACCAAGCATTTTCCCCTTGTCCATCCTTTATTAGCCACCATATAAACACACCAAGCATTTCCCCCTTGTCAATCTTTATTAGCCATCATCTAAACACACCAAGCATTTCCCCCTTGTTCATCCTTTATTAGCCACCATATAAACACACCAAGCATTTTCCCCTTGTCCATCCTTTATTAGCCACCATATAAACACACCAAGCATTTCCCCCTTGTCACTCCTTTAATAGCCACCATATAAACACTCCAAGCATTTTCCCCTTGTCCATCCTTTATTAGCCACCATATAAACACAAAGCATTTCCCCCTTGTCCATCCTTTATTAGCCACCATATAAAAACACCAAGCATTTCCCCCTTGTCCATTTACCACACCAAGCATTTCCCCCTTGTCCATCCTTTATAAGCCACCATATAAACACACCAAGCATTTCCCCCTTGTCCATCCTTTATTAGCCACCATATAAAAACACCAAGCATTTCCCCCTTGTCCATCCTTTATTAGCCACCATATAAAAACACTAATGCATTTTCCCCTTGTCCATCCTTTATTAGCCACAATATAAACACACCAAGCATTTCCCCCTTGTCCATCCTTTATTAGCCACCATATAAAAACACCAAGCATTTCCCCCTTGTCCATCCTTTATAAGCCACCATATAAACACACCAAGCATTTCCCCCTTGTCCATCCTTTATTAGCCACCATATAAACACACCAAGAATTTTCCCCTTGTCCATCCTTTATTACCCACCATATAAACACGCCAAGCATTTCCCCCTTGTCCATCTTTTATAAGCCACCATATAAACACACCAAGCATTTCCCCCTTGTCAATCTTTATTAGCCACCATATAAACACACCAAGCATTTCCACCTTGTCCATCCTTTATTAGCCACCATATAAACACACCAAGCATTTCCCCCTTGTCAGTCTTTATTAACCACCATCTAAACACACCAAGCATTTCCCCCTTGTTCATCCTTTATTAGCCACCATATAAAAACACCAAGCATTTCCCCCTTGTCCATCCTTTATTAGCCACCATATAAAAACACCAAGCATTTCCCCCTTGTCCATCCTTTATTAGCCACCATATAAACACATCCAGCAATTCCCCCTTACCCATCCTTTATTAGCCACCATATAAACACACCAAGCATTTCCCCCTTGTCCATCCTTTATTAGGCACCATATAAACACACCAAGCATTTCCCCCTTGTCCATCCTTTATTAGCCACCATATAAACACACCAAGCATTTCCCCCTTGTCCATCCTTTATTAGCCACCATATAAAAACACCAAGCATTTCACCCTTGTCCATCCTTTATTAGCCACCATATAAAAACACCAAGCATTTCCCCCTTGTCCATCCTTTATTAGCCACCATATATATACACCAAGCGTTTTCCCCTTGTCCATCCTTTATTAGCCACCATATAAAAACACCAAGCATTTCCCCCTTGTCCATCCTTTATAAGCCACCATATAAACACACCAAGCATTTCCCCCTTGTCCATCCTTTATTAGCCACCATCTAAACACACCAAGCATTTCCACTTGTCCATCCTTTATAAGCCACCATAGAAAAACACCAAGCATTTTCCCCTTGTCCATCCTTTATTAGCCACCATATAAAAACACCAAGCATTTTCCCCTTGTCCATCCTTTATTAGGCACCATATAAACACACCAAGTATTTCCCCCTTGTCCATCCTTTATTAGCCACCATATAAACACACCAAGCATTTCCCCTTGTCCATCCTTTATAAGCCACCATATAAACACACCAAGCATTTTCCCCTTGTCCATCCTTTATTAGCCACCATATAAAAACACCAACAATTTCCCCCTTGTCCATCCTTTATTAGCCACCATATAAACACACCACGCATTTCCCCCTTGTCCATTCTTTATTAGCCACCATATAAACACACAGCATTTCCCCCTTGTCCATCCTTTATTACCCACCATATAAAAACACCAAGCATTTGCCCCTTGTCCATCCTTTATTAGCCACCATATAAACACACCAAGCAATTCCCCCTTGCCCATCCTTTATTAGCCACCATATAAACACACCAAGCATTTCCCCCTTGTCCATCCTTTATTAGGCACCATATAAACACACCAAGCATTTCCCCCTTGTCCATCCTTTATTAGCCACCATATAAACACACCAGTCATTTCCCCCTTGTCCATCCTTTATTAGCCACCATATAAAAACACCAAGCATTTCACGCGCGACTTCGAAAAAGGACAGGAAACATGGTTCGAGGAACTGAACTCCAGAGAGGCGAGGCACCATCATCAAATTGGTCGCAAGGCATCAACGGACTGGCAGTGTCCAAGACCAGCCTCGTTCTGGACGTCTGAAGGTCACTACTCAAGCGCAGGACCGTTACATCCGGGTGACACATCTGCGTGACCGACAGCGACGAGCAACACAGACAGCTGCAACCATTCAAGGTCCACGTCATCCCCCCGTGTCGGCCGACACAATTTGTGTAAGAGCAGCGGGAATCAGATGTTGTCGTCCTTACGTCGGGCCCATACCTATTCAACGTCATCGCCAACAACGTCTGCAGTGGGCCAACAAGCACTTGCGTTGGCGACGTCAACACTGGCAACAAGTTCTCAGACGAATCAAGGTTCAACCTTTCTCACGCCGAAGGAGTGTGGAGACCACGTAACTGCTGTGTCGGACAGGCCAACCGGTGGGGCGGGGGAAGCATCGTGGGGCGGGGGAAGCATCATGGTGTGGGGAGGCTGCAGTCATCATCACAGCACCCCTCTACATATGTTCCTTCAGCGCGTGGCTGCTGTCGTGTACCGGGATGATGTTCTTCCTAATCACGTCAGACCACTCTTTCTTGGTAAACCTCAACTCCAGGTCTTGTAACAGGACAACGCTCGTCCCCACACAGCACGGGTCTCTGGAGTGAGTAAAAAGTGATGCCCTGCCTTTCTTTGTCATCGGACATGGCGCCAATTGAGCATGTCTGGGACAAGATTGGGAGACGTATTCAGGCTGCAAGGCACATACACTTTAGAACACGGAAGCCTTTTTTAGTGCGGGAATCGAACGGGATTCCTCAAGCCTTCTTCCAAACACTTGTCGACTCAATGAGACGGCGATGTACGGCCTGTGTCGCAGGTGACGGAGGCCACACACACTATTGATTGATACGACTGACACTTGTCATTTTTCTGGTGCATTTTTCAAACAATCAACGCCCATTTGTTATCAAATGTTTTCTCTGTTAATATTTCTTAATATTATTTACATATCTTTTATAGTATCAACGTTATCCGTATTTAAGTACAACATGCGTTTTTTTGCGGTTGAGTATATGACTGAAGTTAACACCCCATACATCTGTGTCTTTGTGGATAATAGATTAACGAGGGTTTTACATGCATCAACATAGGTAATTCAATCCATGAAATAGAGAAATACGAGGGGGCCTGGGCACCAAGGTGAATCTATTTAAAGTTTTTTTGCTGCTCTCAGCAGAATTACATGTTGATTCTGTTTGGTTCACTATCAGACATGTTTGTACCTGGCTTAAGTGTTGGGAAATGGACGGATCCTTTTCTAACCAATCGCTGTTGCTTTCATGCAGTGATTCGGAAAACTTCAAAAACATCGTAGGTATGTTTTCATGGATCTTCAACCCTTCCAGGACAAGTATATTGATGAATCTCTTGCCAGGCCTAGATGTGTCTGGTGCTCCTATGGTGAGTATCGTTTGTCTCTCCTGCAACACATGTATATGTTACCATGCAGGAAACCGAACACAATAAGAAAGGGTGCTTTTCCTCTCCCCTGAATCCCATCTAATTTGTCACTCTGAATCTCATTGCTCACACCTGAATCCCGAATACTACCGGAAACGAAATCGCAAAAGCATTGAGAAAAGTTTTCGATTTGAAGTTTAAAAACTTAAATTATATCACAAAAATTGTTACATATGAAAGGTGATATGTACACCATTATTTAAAAAATGTTGAATGAGCGTACAAAATGCGATTTGTTGCGCCTGGCGTACCGCATTGCTTTTCCAAACGTGTTGGCAGCATCAATAAAGCCTTCTTTGAGTTGCATTTAGAAGTTGGAATGGAAACTAAGACAAAATTGTTATGGATGAGCAACTTCTTTATAACAATTCAGCGACGTTTCGGTGTAGATTCTAACACCGTTATTGAGTTGTCAACACTGAAAATAACCGCGTAAAGGAAATTTACAAAGGTAAACAAGACAAAAAGTGAGCAGTGCTAACTAATACCCCTGACCTCAACCAAAAATGTCCTCGGAGGCCGGACGGAATTTCTTGGTATAACTATATACCCCCGACATATAATAATCAAACTACGCAAAAGACATCTGATTAAAAGAAAATTGTCACAACTTCATGTTCCGAAGTACTGTGTTTGGATTACTATTTCTGAGTCATTCCAAACTAGTTCCACGCGCATAGTGTCCTCCCACTTCTCTCCTCCTTAACAGTAGCTAGGGTTAACTTCCCAGGTGTGTGGTATGTTAAGTAATCTTCATAGATACAGGACTTACACACGTAAGCAATGTTACTCCCGACAATTCTTGGTTCTGATATGTATCTTGAAATTTGATATCCACTAAGTATGCTACATGTAGGTGCTAAGCCTAACAAACAAAACCAACAGTTGTGAAAGTGTTTTAAGTGCATTTTCCAACATAATCTCCCTGCTTTTAAATACACTTCTCATTTCGATCTTTTTTAATCTTTTTAATTCCACTCCGAAAGATGTTTCCTGAAACCACCCTGAAAAACCCATTCACGGCGGCTTTGAGGTCATCGTTGTCGTCATAGCGCTTTCCACGAAGATGTTCTTTCATTTTAGGAAACAGGTGGAAATCACTGGCGAGTGTGGAGGGCGAGGAAGCTCTTCGAACACACATCGCACGGCAGCCTTGTCAAGTCGAGAGGTGTGAGAAGAGGCATTGTCATGAAATAGTAGAACTCCAGTAGTCAGCATTCATCGACGCTTGATAGAATCTCTTAGGCGATGACGAAAATCAGCGGAGTAGGCACCGGTAATCGTCTTTTGACTTTCAAGGTAATCAACAAGGATCACACTCTTTGCTTCCCAGAATACAGTGGCCATAACGTTCTTCACTGATCTTGAAGACTTCAATTTCGTTGGTGCCGGAGAAATGGAATGGTGCCATTTCACGGATTGACGTTATGATTCAGAATAATAGAGGTAGACCCATGTTTCATCAATTGTTACTAATCTCGTTTTGAATATTGTCGATGGATCCATGGCTTAGACCCGTGTCTTCCACAAGTTCGGCAATGGTAATACGTCTATCTGACGGTATAAGTTTTTTTCTATCTCCTTGATTGAATCTTCATTGATAGAATTTGAGGGACGTCCAGGCCTAGGGCCATCATGAAAGGCTTCTCCTAGCCTTAACCATAGGTGCCCAACGTTTAACAGTGGAACAGCTAGGACACTTATCCCACACACGTGTGATAATCGGTCAAGAAATTCTTGGGGAGTACTTTTCTCTAAAGTCAAAAACGTGACGACTGTTCGGTCCTCGTTCTTTTTCATTTCTGTGTCCCTATCACATAGTGGTTGTCACTAATATACAAACGGCCTCAATAGACCAAATGCACTTGCAATGAACTTTTCAAACAATGTATTACTTTAACTAGTTCACTTTGTTGATCACCCATAGTTAGTCAGGGTTATAACTTTGTGACCAACCCTCGTAACATATAATGTTTTTGAGCATATGTTTATTTTTGAACTTAGCCCCTTCCATCTTATATCTGCAGTGTTGACGGTTCTGAAACCAATGGGTTCATTAAGTTACATCAGCTATGGTGTCTTAAACACATTAGTATTCTTAACATTTTGTCTTCAATAAGTTTGTTACAGGTACTTACTCCAGGGGGCAGTGGTTGGTTCTTCATGATGTAATCGATGATATACTGAAGCTGTTGCACTGGTTCCGCTTTTTCTCGATTCTGTGGTGGAGGGGTAATGTACATATGTGCAATGTAAGTGTCCAGTGTCTGTTTACCAGACTTCGACAGAACAAAGTCAGGCAGTCTGGCTACAGTGTCCTCGTCAAGCTGCTTCCAGGGTAACACACGCTCCCCAAGTGTTGTATTCACGTCCTTGACGATACTAGCGTCTACTGTTCCTTTCTCTATTGACAGTGTGAACTTGCTGGAGTTGACTGAGATGCCACAGGACAGACGTAATATCTTTTTGAAGCTTGGGTGTCTGGATATAAGAGGTATCGGCATTTACTTCAGAATGTTCTCATGTCCCATTGTTTAGTATGTACACACGTACGTATAAGTCGAGCTCAGCCATACCGTTTATATTTATTTTTCAAGTTTATAAGAAGATGCCCGTCATCGACTTTTGTTTGCACATAGATGCCCACTGCAAAACTTTAAAGAACGCAGGTGAACATTATCACATATGAACATTCAGCCGTATGAGCATTTGGTTTATCTAAAAATGATATTGTCTCAGTTATTTTACTAATTTTTCGATTTGATGCCTTTTCGGCTAGGTGTTTCGAAGCACAAAATATAATTTGTGAGTTGAAGTATTTCGCACACTCCATACATTATAAACATTTCAGTTACTTGTCATGACTAAAAATGACACATCAGTCCTGAAACTTGTAAAACGGCCTGAAACATTGTTACCCATTTCTAATGTTCTGGAACACAACAACGCGCGGGTTCTCTCGTAGATAGTCCATGGTAAACTTTCCGTCTTTCAGACATTCAGGGTCAGTTGTGATGGTCACCTGGTAATGGTCAGTGTACTCGACCACAGTCTGAAACGGTCAATGGATCAGTGAGCACACAAATTGCATTCTCCCCAATGATGTATGCAACTAAAGTTGCAAGTTCGGGGATACAACGTTTGTATTGACATTATCATATCATCCTATCGGGTACCTGAAATGTAATTTGGATGAACATTTCAAAGAAAGTGACTTGCCAATAAAAACACCACAATGTTAATGTGTTAGTGTGGGGCAAGGCTTAACAAACTGAACATAGCTGGGCACAAACTTACAAAATTAATTATGTGGTTTTGACAGATAGTCAGATGCTTAGTAACAGTTATCTGTTGGTAAGGAATGGAGGACATTAAGTACACTCACACGTGTCTTCCTCGGAGAAGCACCGGACGCTGCATTAGTCTGACCTTTAGAAATATAAGCGACAAAATCCTTTCCATGTTACTAAGAAACCCGTGCTTAAAGCAAAGTCAATTGTACGATTCCAACTACACCAAAAGCATATGTTTAAGAATCACTTTCAAATAGTGATGATGGTGTTTGAGAAAAGGTAATGACAATAAAACATTAGTACAAATACGTTAGTGATGATGATCTACCATTATAATTTATCATCTACAAGAATACCACAAAGAAACAGATTAACCAAAAGCAGTTTTCTACTCCATCTTTATCTTTGAACCGCTGAAGTTATACTAAATAAACTCATACATGTCAGACCCGTGTAGATCCGTGTCAGAACAGGTCTTCAGCAACCCATGCTTGCCGAAACAGGAGACCATGTCAAGCTCGCTGACTTGGTTGATGCATGTCAGCGTATCCCAATCGCGTAGATCGATTATCATGATGTCAATCACTGGATTGTTTGGTCCAGACTCAATTTTCTACAGACCGCCGTCATATAGCTGGAAGATTGCTGAGTGCGGCGTTAAACAACAAACAATAAAACCAAAACGATCACACACACACACACACACACACACACACACACACACACACACACACACACACACACACACACACACACACACACACACACACACGTTAATGAATGATTTTAAACAATGATAATATTACCTTTTGTGCTATCCTGAATTCTCTGTATCAGTTTTTCTCTGACTCTGCTGTCACACATTGTTGCCCGATAAGTAATCTTATCTTTATCCCGGAAGGGAGTTGGGTTTTTCAATTGTGCAAGGGCATGTGCAAGTGCATCTTGAAAGGACGTCACATACAGGTGAACAGATAGGAGTTACTTACAGACATCAATGTACAGAATTCTTAATAGATAAACGTCAACGCCAGAGAATAACCTGTCTCGATTTTCCGACGAAACAGATTTCATAGGGAGCAAAGCTCAAAACAGAAGTAAGATCATTGAAAATCAGTGATAACTCCGGGTGTCCCGCCATAGTCATGATAGTTAACAAAGTAGACTAAATAGACTGTCGTATGCAAACAATGTTTGAAATTTTACTTATTTACAACTTGAACGAAGGTAAGTTATTTTTAAAATTCTTTTTAAAAGTACGATATGTGTTTGAGATTTGACGCATTACGTACATAACAATGTTTGACTAAAAACGGTTCGGTTACTGTGCGCCAGACTAAAAGGTGCCTTGCGTTTTCATCAACCCTAAAACCTTTAAGACACAAACATTATTGAATACCCATAACTACTCTTTTAAGAAGAATAACTGGTATATAATACGACACAATTTACAATTTCTGTTTGGATAATATATGACACAATTCTCGTGAATTGTATAAGCTCGAAGGCTAATGTACACTTATACTCCTCTAAAACAGAAACGCATAACCAGATTTTTGGTGTGGAGAGTATTACACATTTACAGTACATCTGATCACTTGAGTGATGACAAATTGCAAAAAGGGCCTATGTTGACACGTGTTCAATATGAAGACATTACATGGAAAATAACAAACGTCAAGATCATGAGAACTCAATATCTTGTGCGAACGCCATTGGTGTCGAGTACTGCCTCGCATCGCCAGCCAATGGGCGATAGAGATTAATACCTCACACTAGGGAATGTTAGCAACCTCGCCCTGAATTACTATGTGCAAACTGTTGCAGTGTCTGTGGTTAGGAATGATGTGGTCGTACGCGGCGATTCAAGTCGCCCCTTAGGTATCCCATCGCAGATGAACAATTGCTAACAGGTAACGTTTTTGCAACCGTGAATACCGATTTTTTAGGCCTATTCATGATGTTTCAGTGCAGCACATGCACGTACATCTGCCCCGTGGTTCGCATACGTTTCTGTATGCGTAACGGTTATGAAATTGGTCGTTGCCATTTTTCATGACTTCACCAAAGACATCGTTAAGTTGGTATCAAATGACATCATATTCATGCTTCATATATTGCTTATGTGCTGGTCTTTGTCTGTCTAAAGATTGATAATTAGTTTTTCTTCTTTTGAGGAGCATATAAACCGAATACAGCCAAAAGCAAACAAAAATCAGCATTTTCAGACCCACAACCAAAAACAGTTATTTCAAAGTCATGGAAAATTTTCGAAATATGACTTTTGGATGTTATGATTTTGATTTGTAATAATATTTTTACTGTGGAGTTCTGACGTTCATTTAGTTAGAAACTAGCCCTTTGAAGGTTTATTTTACAAAGAACTCGAATAAGGTAAAAGTATTTTTTTGTGTGTATACTACTCAAAAGAATTAAACGACCACCCGATTATTTCATATTACATGTACTTCAGTTAATCTGGCATGGAATGACAAGGTCACTATAGTAAAAGGCAAAACACACACGTGAGCTATGTTATGTATATTGAAAAGGATTACATACCGTCTGTCGTGACTGTGAGGCTTGTGAGGTTATGAATGTCCTCAGCTGTTTTCCACCGCAAGGACAATTTGCCAAGTCCGTTGAAAGTCCCAGGGGCAACAAGATTCCTTGAAAAATCAAAATCAGGGCATTATCTATGGAGCTAAAACTGAATGATAACTGTAACACATGTATGAATTCACGTTTCCAATCCATTCAAGTTCCATATATATACTAATCTTGTAGAGTTTAATGATACCAACGTTCTGTGCACAGTTCCATTTGTATAGACCCTCAATGTAGATTCTCGAGCAGAATAGGTCCTCAGCACCCCATGTTTGAATGCCTCGTCACAAATTAAGGATGCTGATTGTGTGTTATCGTACTCCGACTACACGGAACGTTGCTCAGGTGATCAACATGGTCTGTGTGACCAAGAAACCACTATTAACATACCACTGATCAGTTATGACAATAAGTGGATGAAACAGGTTATTGCACTTACTCATGTCCCAGGGTGAGGTCTTCAGCTAGGTGGAGTCCCAAAACAGTTGGATACATCAATGTAGAGACATTCAAACACTCACGAAGGAGCTCCGCCACGTCGTGTTTATTCCAGTGAAAGATTTCCGTCCTAATAACCGCATCTGGCCTAATTGAAAGTAAGTATGGTTTCTAACAAAGTGGTAATAGACTGATCTGCATAGCACATTTCACCAAGAAATACAGTTTTGGAGATCAGTTGCGGAAACGTGAACTTCCCTTATTTTCGGTAAAGTCCAACTTGTCATGAAAACAATAAAACATATACCCATAGAAATTATCCCAAATCAAAAGAGGCACCAATGCACCACTAGACTGATCTGTATAGCAAGATACATAAAGAAATAGTTTACGGTTTTGGAGTTCAGCTCCGGAAACGAGCACGCACCACTCATTTCAGGCCGACTTGTCAAATAATCAAATAATGCCCAATCCCCCCAGTTACATACGTTTTCGCCTTTTCGCGAGAGCAGGTGAGCACAGGTATAAGGCCAACAATATCTGCAATGTTAGATGCATCGATAAAATCGAACTTCAGATCTGGAATATCGGTCTCGCATACTGCTGTTGCCTCTCCATGCCAAAGGTATATCTGAAAGAGATCAACACAATTTATATACTATCTGAAAAATAGTAACTGTGCTTTATATAAAGTTCAATAGAAATAGAACCACTAGGGCACGTAGGCGGATCTTATTCTGAAATTAAATAATTCATCTTTCAATACATACTCATGAAGACATCTCTCGCCTCGACTTTAATGATTCACAGTTTGCAAGTGCATGTTCAAGCACGGCGCACAATTAGGATGTTTGCGTGTTTGTTGGGAGTACGATACTCATACACGTGTTTTTGAATGTGGACAGCACACAATGACTGCTTAGCGATCAGGGGCTGATAACACAATGTTGTAAGCCGTAAATAACGCTTACGCAATGCCACGGCTTGCTGAAGATAAACATGAATGCGCCGTGGTCATACTGCAAACAGGAATGGCGCAAAACGAAGTTGCTAGACATCATAATGTTCATCGAAACCCAATATAATCTATTTGGAAATGTTATCTACAGCAGGACAACACTCATGACTTGCCATGGACCGGTCGTCCACGTGTGACGTCACATAAACAAGACAATCATATTCGGTTGGTGCTTCTACGGAATCGATACCAAACTGCCAAATTAACAACTCGAACATTAAGTGGTTTGAGTTCAATACGTGGCAGAACCGTACGCAACCGGATGAGGGAGCACAACATCCGGCCCCGACGTCAAGCGATGCGCCCATGTTTGCTTCCATGTCACCGTCAGGCAAAGCCGAGCTTGGTGTGAACAGCGTCTGAGGTTCAGAAGACAAGACTAGGACGGAATACCGTTCACAGATGAGTCCAGGTTTCATCTGGACAGATCTGATGGTCGCACAAGGGTCTACAGTCTTCCAAGAGTATGTTTTAGCGACGCTTGCGTTACTCATCTGGACAGCTCTGATGGTCGTACAAGGGTCTAAGTCATCCAAGGGTATGTTTTAGCAACGCTTGCGTTACTCATCTGGGCAGCTCTGATGGTCGCACAAGGGTCTAAGTCATCCAAGGGTATGTTTTAGCAACGCTTGCGTTACTCATCTGGGCAGCTCTGATGGTCGCACAAGGGTCTAAGTCTTCCAAGAGTATGTTTTAGCAACGCTTGCGTTACTTATCTGGACAGATCTGATGGTCGCACAAGGGTCTACAGTCTTCCAAGAGTATGTTTTAGCAACGCTTGCGTTACTCATCTGGACAGCTCTGATGGTCGTACAAGGGTCTACAGTCTTCCAAGAATATGTTTTAGCAACGCTTGCGTTACTCATCTGGGCAGCCCTGATGGTCGTACAAGGGTCTACAGTCTTCCAAGAATATGTTTTAGCAACGCTTGCGTTACTCATCTGGACAGCTCTGATGGTCGTACAAGGGTCTACAGTCTTCCAAGAGTATGTTTTAGCAACGCTTGCGTTACTCATCTGGACAGCTCTGATGGTCGTACAAGGGTCTACAGTCTTCCAAGAATATGTTTTAGCAACGCTTGCGTTACTCATCTGGGCAGCTCTGATGGTCGCACAAGGGTCTACAGTCTTCCAAGAGTATGTTTTAGCAACGCTTGCGTTACTCATCTGGACAGCTCTGATGGTCGCACAAGGGTCTACAGTCTCCCAAGAATATGTTTTAGCAACGCTTGCATTACTCGTCTGGGCAGCTCTGATGGTCGCACAAGGGTCTACAGTCTTCCAAGAGTATGTTTTAGCAACGCTTGCGTTACTCATCTGGACAGCTCTGATGGTCGCACAAGGGTCTACAGTCTTCCAAAAGTATGTTTTAGCAACGCTTGCGTTACTTATCTGGGCAGCTCTGATGGTCGCACAAGGGTCTACAGGTTTCCAAGAATATGTTTTAGCGACGCTTGCGTTACTTATCTGGGCAGCTCTGATGGTCGCACAAGGGTCTACAGGTTTCCAAGAATATGTTTTAGCGACGCTTGCGTTACTCATCTGGACAGCTCTGATGGTCGCACAAGGGTCTACAGTCTTCCAAAAGTATGTTTTAGCAACGCTTGCGTTACTTATCTGGGCAGCTCTGATGGTCGCACAAGGGTCTACAGGTTTCCAAGAATATGTTTTAGCGACGCTTGCGTTACTTATCTGGACAGCTCTGATGGTCGTACAAGGGTCTACAGTCTTCCAGAGTATGTTTTAGCAACGCTTGCGTTACTCATCTGGACAGCTCTGTTGGTCGCACAAGGGTCTAAGTCATCCAAGAGTATGTTTTAGCGACGCTTGCGTTACTCATCTGGACAGCTCTGATGGTCGCACAAGGGTCTAAGTCTTCCAAGAGTATGTTTTAGCAACCCTTGCGTTACTCATCTGGGCAGCTCTGATGGTCGCACAAAGGTCTGCAGTCTTCCAAGAGTATGTTTTTGCGACGCTTGCATTACTCATTATCGTCAAGTTGGGCCGGGGGTGGAAGGAGACAAGCCATATCCTCAGACACGCACATGGATAACAACTGTTGTAGTCTTTATTCACAAGATTTAGAGGCTACCTTCCCCTTCATTCGTGATGTGTGTATACGAGCTACCAACTTCCAAATGCCTATCAAGGACCAGTGTCAAAGACCAGTGCCAAGGACCAGCTTACCTTGATGTCGCATCCGTGTCTTAGTGCTGCCTGGTAACTCTCAACCCACTCTCGCAGTATTTCAAGATAAAGCGAGGACAGTGTGACTTTTGCTCCATCGTACCTGGACATGAAAATGTTTACTACAAGACTTGAAATTTAATCAAAACGAAATAATCCTGATGAATATTAAACGTTAAATACTAAGATACATAAACTATGTTTAATCGTCATTGAAATGTTAAGTAAACCCAACGTGAAATTCATGAATTATACAGCTCTTCAACTGATATCCACAAGATCTGAAACATATTTCCTTATGTTCAAAACAAGGAAGAAGGAACAGGCACAGCAAATCTCTGCTAAAAGCGGAGTTCATTGTATGATTCCGAATAGATCAAAAGTACCGAGACTGGACATGTTTAAACCGAGAAACACGTGAATTATATCAATTATTTCAATATGAGGGGCGTGACATGAGCCTGCTGAAAGAAATGGAAATCAGCGAAGATTCGCTTTAAATTAGTGATTCTCAGCTCCGAAAGTTTTGCCAACGCCATGACATTCCTCCGGGTAGAACACCAGTCACGACAGCAGGACAAACATTACTTGATTCAGCGACTTATCAACTATGATCACATCCGTGGTGGGCAGCAGTTGGAAGCAGGACGCAAAAAGATCGAGACTTTTAAATTGATAAAAAAACAGCTTTACATCGTCTTGGTGGGATATTATCGAGAAAAAAAAATAGATTGTCCTTGACAATTCTTGAAAGATATAATAATGCTTGGGACTGTTGAAAAAAAGAAGAAATTGCCTACTTCAAAACTTACATTGTTGCAAGGTGTTTTTATTAAAAAAAAATTCAGGTTTTTGTAGCTGTGTGGTGTTGCTGAGATGGGAAATGGCGTTACAATGGAAAATCTGAACTCCCGACTAAGAGATTTCCCCAATCCTCTAAAGGCTTTGTGGACTCGGATGAGAACAAAGACGATAATCTCTTTGAATCTGCTCCCGCAAAAGACGAAGAAGAAGACAGAGTTCATGATTTTTACAATAATTAAAGAACTTATCCCCATTGTGTTTATGTTCGGATACAGTTCATGTTTGTTTACACATAAAGTGCATAACTACGATATTAGTTTGTTATCACTTTTCTGTGACAGCTGTCATTATAATTTTGAACGTGTTCTTGATCCATAATTTACAATTTGAAAAAGAAAATAATTTCTTATGTTTAAAGGGTGCTCTCTCATTCCATTTGTGAGCAGTGAGTGAATGAATGAGTGAGTGAGTGAGTTGTGTTTCACGCCGCTTTTAACAGTATTCCAGTTGTATCACGTCGTGACAGCTTAATGTGGGAGGAAAGTCCGAAGTAATGCATGTCTTAGACGTTTACCACTTCGGTGAAACCCACAAGGGTATAGTGATGACAAACCTAGAAACATAAACATAATTCGAACACACAATCGAATCCGCAACAGCGAGTTGCGGCGCCTTAGACGACTGGGCCACCCGTGGCCCCCAGTTTTGAGTAAGTATTTTATTACACTTGGAATATTCATTATTCGTTTTTTACCTTTTTCTTCTTTAAGCCCACTTGGTGGCAATAAAATGACATAACGTTTTTCGAACACATATCCACTTATAATATTAACAAGTTTGATCAATATGGACCGAAGAATTCCTCCTGGAAAGGCTTAACGTGAGCAAGTTTAAACGTAAATAAAAAAACATTTATTTACCCCTACATACACGTACGACGGTGACACACAGACTCTCTCTCTCTCTCTCTCTCTCTCTCTCACACACACACGCACGCACGCACACACACACACACACAGACACCCACACGCACGCACGCACGCACGCACACAGACACACACGCACGCACGCACACACACACAGACACGCACGCACGCACGCACGCACACACACACACACACAGAGGTACATACCTATGAAGCTGTAGATCAATATCGTGACATAGGAACGGCGTGCTGTCCAAGAAGACCCTCCAAGAATGACATCCTGGTCTATAAAACGTCACATTGCTACAGAAACTATTTCGAATGCGTTCAGGTGAGAGAGACCCCGAATTGATTCTTGTAACACCTGTTGTGACAAATTCTTCGATTTCTTGGCGATACCTAAACAGAAGGAAGCCTATTCATCCAGGATTAAAAGACAGACAGGTGTTGTTGTTATCAAGTTCAATGAATGCATAAAACAGTCCTGTCAACATTGGCAAGCATTTCCATCGCAGCAGTAGTTCGTCGCACATGTTATTCAATGCATACTAAAACGTCGTGACCCCCGCTTGATTTCCCATTCAGTTTGTATTTGCCTGTTTTGCAGCTGTAGCTAAAAAAACATCATTTTTTATTTGCCTATATGAAACTGTTTTTGAACTAGTCTTACTGCACACAATTTTACTTGATGGTACATTTTGTTGAAATGGAAAAAATATAATTCTTCATTTGACTTTTTTTTATCCCGCCGATAAACTGATAGCATATTGCACCCCAAACATATTTTCTAAACGAGGACCAACTGAAGATGACCTATATTAAACATGGGAGTAAAAAAACTTTGTATTTCACTGAAATTGATTGAACAGTATTCCCGCTTGATTCATCATTGCTTAAAGCAGCAGCTGTGTTGCAGGCTCTCCTCCATCAAAATACACCATTTTTTTCAAACCTGCTGACTAAAAACTAAAAACCTAAAAAATGAATTGCTTTTATTTTTTCCTACCCACCGACAGGTATTTTCCTGCAAAGAATCCGTAGAGCCAGTAAAAACAAAGTGTGGCCTCATTCATGTACAAAAGAAAAAGCCGTAATATACATGTGTATGGAATATTGTTAAGCGATTGTTAAACAACACACAAACACTCTCTCAATCACCGAGTGAATTAAAGACAACGTCGCGTCGTCATTGTTTCAGATACAAAGCGACAGACAGTCGTTGGATGACCCGTGAATACGTCTTCAGCAACCCATGCTTGTCGTAAAAGGCGACTAACGGGATCGGGTGGTCAGGCACGCTGACTTGGTTAATGCAGTCGCTAGAACATTGAAATTACCTGTCTTTCAGACGCTCTATTGTATCCAGATGAAGACATTGAACGCTAAGTTTGCCTGCTAACCAATTTGGTTCTTTACTTCCAGTATCCCATTCGTTCCAGAAATTCTTTCTTTTATCGATAGTAAGACTGGCACTTGCATCGAACTTCAACCAAAGCTGTAGTGCATCTTTGAGGTACATCTCAGTTCGTGAGTTCCCAAAGTGTACACCGTGTCTGCCTGATGTTGAAGTCAACAGTTCTTGTATAGTGGCTTTCAGTCTCTGAAGGTGTGCCTCTGTCAGAATCACATCATACCACACTCCCCACAGAAACTTCAAGTCTTTACTGTTTGTTGGATCAATGGTTTGGGCCAAGTGGAGCAAAATCAGGTCTCTTCCCAAGATACCAGTTTCGTGGTCGTTTAAGTGAAAGTTTATGATCTGACCTTTCGATTTTGTAGTGCCATCTTGATGAAGCACGTGCAGTGTATGCAAAACGTTCCTGATGTCCCCACATCCTAGCAACAGTATGTCACATTCCTTAGCAACCTGACACCCGAGAGTCACATCAACTGACCGACTGTTGCCAACTGGATAATACGAAGATTCAGTATCCGGTCGATTGCTCATTTCTGTAAAAAGTAGTACATGTGTACATATATATATATATAAATACATACACATATACGCAAATCACTCTTTCCATAATCATAATAAATCTCTGCTAAAATCAGGCTCCATTTTACTGATCAAACTATATCATAAGCATTGGCTTCTGTATTACTATCAAATTTGATGATACCTGGTGTTCGCGAAAGTGTGAACGATTCATGTTCCTTTGATACTTATGCATTTTGACTTGACTAGATTGGAAGTTGTGCTTGTCAGGTTGATTGGAATGTTAAACCACCTGGAGTTATCTCCCTTTACCAAAGCAAATGTGACTCAGACATATTAGAGGGTCTTTGCTGGAGACCTGTCTTGGTCATTGATACCTTACAACACTCGGTCATAAGCAGTAAGCAGTATTTAGGGTACTTTTTCATTAAGCAGTAATTTCTCTTCTTTTTCAATAAAATCGTCGCAGGGTTTCACAAAATGCCAAATGAATTTTTCTACAAATATTACCAGGTTTTTTTGCCTACAATTTTTCTACAAAATTCATCAATGATTTTTGGCAATATTTGATATTGCTACACAAGTGCATTTCATAAATAACTTTCATTTCAGGATGTTCTATTTCAGGGTGAAATTACAATATTTAGTTTATTAGATAAAGTATAACTTTAACTTGCATTGTCTATTGTAACTAGTTAATAGCTTAGGGCACAACTAACTGTACATTATAACAGGTTAACATTCTATAAACTGTAAATGTCTAATTAGCCTTAGGGATCACTGAATTATCTATTGTTTTAAGTCAGCAGGCATCCCTCATCGGGGCCATTATACCAAAGGGCAGAACTAGTGTCATTGATACAGTCTAGGAAATATGTCAGTTGTACATTCTATAAACATTCTATTGTATGTCAGCTCAATACACAGTGTATTATTTTCAAATTCACCTCCACTGCTGTCAATCTGTCATCCTTAAACCGCGGGAAAAAGCTGTCAAGTTGAATCTAAATTGAGAATTTCAATGCGAAACGATTCCTAAATCGGCCATGGCGGGACATGGGACTTTTAATTCTTCTTCCGTTTCATCCTGACAATTCATATTTTTAATACCGGGTAAAATCTCAAATCGCTAAACATTCTGGACTGGTCCCCTGCGTCAGTTGCGCAGCCTGCTTTCTGTGGCGAAGCATTTGGGTCTTGAAGACAGATTGTTTTTGACCATTTTAATCATTTTACGATGAGCAGTAAATTATTTATTTAAGATGAGCAGTAAATTATTTATTTACGTTAAGCAGTTATTTTTTGGTAAGATGAATTTTACGTTTACGATAGTGTTTGAAGGGTGTTTTACGTTAAGCATTAAATCCCATCAGGACCCTCATAGAGTGGTGTGACACAAACATATCGTAACACTAACTGGAGTAACTGTCACTCAAGAAGTCAGTAAGGAAATACGTTCACTACTAGATCAACACACCATGAATAGCTCAGTGAAGATCTTGGTTAGAATTGGTCTTCAGCAACCAATGCTTGTCCCCCGTGTAGATCTTGGTTAGAATTGGTCTTCAGGAACCAATGCTTGTCCCTCGTGTAGATCTGGGTTAGAATTGGTCTTCAGCAACCAATACTTGTCCCTCGTGTGGATCTGGGTTAGAATTGGTCTTCAGGAACCAATACTTGTCCCTCGTGTAGATCTGGGTTAGAATTGGTCTTCAGCAACCAATACTTGTCCCTCATGTAGATCTGGGTTAGAACTGGTCTTCAGCAACCAATACTTGTCCCTCGTGTAGATCTGGGTTAGAATTGGTCTTCAGCAACCAATGCTTGTCCCCCGTATAGATCTGGGTTAGAATTGGTCTTCAGCAACCAATACTTGTCCCTCATGTAGATCTTGGTTAGAATTGGTCTTCAGCAACCAATACTTGTCCCTCGTGTAGATCTGGGTTAGAATTGGTCTTCAGCAACCAATACTTGTCCCTCGTGTAGATCTGGGTTAGAATTGGTCTTCAGGAACCAATGCTTGTCCCTCGTGTAGATCTGGGTTAGAATTGGTGTTCAGAAACCAATACTTGTCCCTCGTGTAGATCTGGGTTAGAATTGGTCTTCAGGAACCAATGCTTGTCCCTCGTGTAGATCTGGGTTAGAATTGGTCTTCAGCAACCAATGCTTGTCCTTCGTGTAGATCTGGGTTAGAATTGGTCTTCATGAACCAATGCTTGTCCCTCGTGTAGATCTGGGTTAGAATTGGTCTTCAGCAACCAATACTTGTCCCTCGTGTAGATCTTGGTTAGAATTGGTCTTCAGCAACCAATGCTTGTCCTTCGTGTAGATCTGGGTTAGAATTGGTCTTCAGCAACCAATGCTTGTCCCCCGTGTAGATCTGGGTTAGAATTGGTCTTCAGCAACCAATGCTTGTCCTTCGTGTAGATCTTGGTTAGAATTGGTCCTCAGCAACCAATACTTGTCCCCCGTGTAGATCTGGGTTAGAATTGGTCTTCAGGAACCAATACTTGTCCCTCGTGTAGATCTGGGTTAGAATTGGTCTTCAGCAACCAATGCTTGTCCCTCGTGTAGATCTGGGTTAGAACTGGTCTTCAGCAACCAATACTTGTCCCTCGTGTAGATCTGGGTTAGAATTGGTCTTCAGCAACCAATGCTTGTCCTTCGTGTAGATCTGGGTTAGAATTGGTCTTCAGCAACCCATTTATTTAAATACAGATTGACATAAAAAAGCTGAAATATTGCTGAGAGCGGCGTCAAACAAATCAAACAAACAAGCATCGGGGATAAGAGTTAAACTTGTCGACAGAAATATGGGCTGGTCGTTAGTGGGAACTTTAAATGGATCGGGTGGTCAGGCTCGGTGACATTCATTGTTTGATTGCGTACTATCGAGGTCGAGGCTCGAGAAGTGATGGCAGGGCACCGTCATATACCTGAACTATTGCTGAGTGCGATTGAACTACAACCAAGCAAACTAAACATGCAGAACATTCATCCTGCCCGACTAAATCAAGCATCTGGACATTACTGTTTTAACAATCGAAACTGAGCTTAACTTGGATATGATAAGAAAATCTTACTTATATTGGAGTTGTGACAATGTTTTAACGCAAACGGCTGTGCATCGCTGGGAGGTGTAGATTCTAAGACTTTCAAAATGGCCGATCCTTTTCCTGAAAATCAATTCATGGTTCCACGAATTGTGGGGTATAGAAAGTAGACACAGAGTAGTATTGTGTTGTCATATATAATGTACAACTCACGGGGCTTTCTGTTCATGCAGCATTAGGATATTAATCAATACAGCGATGACGCTATTAATAGCACACAATGCATCAAAAGTCGCATCGACCTGGGGTCCGTTCTACAAAGCGATGTTCGTGCTGCTCACATTCTCAAACAAAGGCTTACGATCGCCGTACCGTTAAGATCGCTTTGTGGAAGGGGCCCTGCAGTGGAACGTAACATATTTCAGTACATGACAGATGAAACATATCTGTGCGGCGCCCGGCTCGTAGCTTAGAGTTTACCAATCAAACTGGCAACACGCCAAAACGTTCATGGAAATATTCACAAGACGGTTATGAAAAAGTGAAAACGGACAAAGCACAAACAACTGTTAAAAAGCAATAGTATGTGTAGAAATTCAATACTTATAGCATTAAAAGCGAAAACTTTTAAATGACGTTTACAGTTGTTTAATTGTGCATGTTGCAAATTCGCATGTTACGTTGTGTTCTTAACCCAACAGATTGTTGATTTATGGAATCTTTTCACCGTTTCCTTCATTGAGATTGATGCATCCTTGTTCGACTTAGAATCGGTTACATATGTACACAAATAGGGAACTTTACACTCAGATCTAGTGACCGGGATTAATTGTCTTGGTCGGGTGTTAAATTACTGCAATAATATAGAAACCATAAACTATATAAATGAAATTTGTTATTATTATTTTAGAGTGTTTAGAATCTGCGTACCCAATACGATTTAATTTGCGTCGCATACTGCACTGCTGAGACTTGAATACCATCTGAGTATATCCCCAAAAGGGGTTGGCAGCCATAAGACGTCGACCTGTCTGTAGTGCAATCTGGAACAGACAATGCAGTGATCACAATTACGAACGCTGATCCACACAGTCGGGTATGAAGAAGACAAGCAATTAACCCAATCACCGAGCCTTTCACACAATCCATACAGTTGCTTGGCACGACAAGAAGATATAAAGAACGATGTTGCTGGGGTCCAATTCTAACCCGTATTCCTCACGTACGGAAGTGTTATCATCAATATCATCACCAATAAACATTCTGGAAACACCCGACCAAGACAATTAATCCCGGTCACTAGATCTGAGTGTAAGTTGCCTATTTGTGTACATATGTAACCGATTCTAAGTCGAACAAGGATGCATCAATCTCAATGAAGGAAACGGTGAAAAGATTCCATAAATCAACAATCTGTTGGGTTAAGAACACAACGTAACATGCGAATTTGCAACATGCACAATTAAACAACTGTAAACGTCATTTAAAAGTTTTCGCTTTTAATGCTATAAGTATTGAATTTCTACACATACTATTGCTTTTTAACAGTTGTTTGTGCTTTGTCCATTTTCCCTTTTTCATAACCGTCTTGTGTATATTTCCATGAACGTTTTGGCGTGTTGCCGGTTTGACTGGTAAACTCTAAGCTACGAGCCGTGCGCCGCACAGATATGTTTTACTGTGTTGTAAAAAATGTGTCATCGGTCATGTACTGAAATATGTTACGTTCCACTGCAGGGCCCCTTTCCACAAAGCGATCTTAACGGTACGGCGATCGTAAGCCTTTGTTTGAGAATGTGAGCAGCACTAACATCGCTTTGTAGAACGGACCCCAGGTCGATGCGACTTTTGATGCGTTGTGTGCTATTAATAGCGTCATCGCTGTATTGATTAATATCCTAACGCTGCATGAACAAAAGTAAGAAAGCCCCGTGAGTTGTACATCTATATATGGCAACACAATACTACTCTGTGTCTACTTTCTATACCCTACAATTCGTGGAACCATGAATAGATTTCAAGGAAAAGGATCGGCCATTTTTAAAGTCTTAGACTCTACACCTCCCAGCGATGCACAGCCGTTTGCGGTAAAACATTGTCACAACTCCAATATAAGTAAGATTTTTGTTTTATTTTACACTCTTATCATATCCAAGTTAAGCTCAGCTTCGATTGTTAATACTGTTATGTCCAGACGCTTAGTCAGGATGAATATTCTGCATGCTTAGTTTGCTTGGTTGTAGTTCAATCGCACTCAGCAATAGTTCAGGTATATGACGGTGCCCTGGCGTCACTTCTCGAGCCTCGACCTCGATAGTACGCAATCAAACAATGAATGTCACCGAGCCTGACCAACCGATCCATTTAAAGTTCCCACTAACGACCAGCCCATATTTCTGTCGACAATTTTAACTCTTATCCCCGATGCTTGTTTGTTTGTTTGTTTTGTTTGACGCCGCTCTAAGCAATATTTCAGCTTTTTTACGTCAATCTGTATTTAAATAAATGGGTTGCTGAAGACACGGGGGACAAGCATCGGTTGCTGAAGACCAATTCTAACCCAGATCTACACGGGGGACAATCATTGGTTGCTGAAGACCAATTATAACGCATCGCAGTAGGCATTTGTTTACCCAGGCTAGACGTTATGCACGCGTTCACACTGGAAGTTTATGGTGGTATTCCCTGTTTTGACGTGTATCATGTCTTCCCTAAACTTTCTTTACGTAAACACTTGCCTTGCATTTGCATGCGTTTGTGATGAGTGTTGTAATATATCAATGACCAAGACAGGTCCCCAGCAAAGACCCTCTAATATGTCTGACTCACATGTGCTTTGGTAAAGGGAGATAACTCCAGGTGGTTTAACATTCCAATCAACCTTACAAGCACAACATACAATCTAGTCAAGTCAGCCTGCATAAGCATCAGTGTGACATGAAACGTTCACACTTTCGCGAACACTGCTATCATCAATATTTGATAGTAATACAGAAGCCAATGCTTATGATATAGTTTGATCAGTACAATGGAGCGTGATTTTAGCAGAGATTTATTATGATTATGGAAAGAGTGGTTTGCTTATATGTGTATGTATTTTTATATATATATGTACACATGTACTATTTTTACGGAAATGAGCAATCGACCGGATACTGAATCTTCGTATTATCCAGTTGGCAACAGTCGGTCAGTTGATGTGACTCTCGGATGTCAGGTTGCTAAGGAATGTGACATACTGTTGCTAGGATGTGGGGACATCAGGAACGTTTTGCATACACTGCACGTGCTTCATCAAGATAGCACTACAAAATCAAAAGGTCAGATAATAAACTATCACTTAAACGACCTTGAAAATGGTAACTTGAGAAGAGACCGCCCCACTAGCCAAATGGATATAGCACAGCGTATAATTTTACCTGTCAAACCGTGGCTAGTGGGGCGGTGGGGTAGCCCAGAGTTTGCAAATCACGCCGGATTCTCCTCCATGAGGTGTTCCCCGCCTTCACAACCGGAATAGTGTTCGAAGCTTACTCACACACTACATGTACTCGGACCCCATGGTACCGCGGCATTGATCGTATCGCGGCATTTGTGATTTCCGATAGTTCACGCGGGACACGCCTCTTAGCGGCTGTCTATTAATGCAAATGAGTAACCAGGAAGTGCTTACAATTTCAATTTCCTCGGAATGTTCCGTCTGCTGTAAGTAAGGAGTTATTAATTGTTGATACATCTTTTTTTTATATTGCCTTGCCCCCATCTATCAATGGCCAACGATATAACCCGCAGTTCCCCAAGTAAACTTTCTCTATCGACCTGAACTAGATCATGTGCATATTCATGGCGACTAATAAGGTAACGGAAGTTACGTAGTCCGCACATTTTTTCCCGCTCTGTGCACAGAATCTATTTGGAGATCATAAGGGCTATAATGCCAAACTTAGAAATACGTTCTTCACTAGTAGCCAAAAGATAAATACATACTTTGGGCATACTAGGAGTGTTTTTTATATATTTATTGTTGACTTTTAACATATTTCCATTTTGTGAAAAATCATTGTCATCCAATTTTTTTTATAAACAATCTTAGAATATAATTTCTGATATTTTGTTGTTGACTTATAAAAATATGTTTCTCTTACTTCAGGATGCGAAACCACACTCTCAGAGTAAGGCACCTAATCGCCAGAACACAAAGACATCGATCTAACCCACTCAGGCACCGATGCTTCCACAAAATGGAAGTCTGACAACATTACTGGTGGTGTAGATAACATACTTTGTGTACCCCACTGATAAGTGTAAATTGGCACGGCTCCGACGGCCAAAACCTGTGAGTAGACAATACCTTTTGGAAAGTTTTGGAAACCTTAGCAGATGTACATATTTACAATTGGTCAACACCTAACACGTTTGCAATCAATCACTTTATTCAGATACTATGAGGAAATTAGGGAGCATGTATCGACTGGGATCACGAGGGTCAACTCTAAAGATGATCGACTGTACGGCAACATCACACTATTTAGACCGGAGAGCGATGTTTGGGTCGTACCAGATGATTGCTGTCCATTCCTGTGCTATGATGTAGACCTACAACTTCACAGGTTCGAATATCGTAATTATATTTGGTGACTGAATGCGTTAGTCTTAAGTTCTAAGTTTGCTTCAGTTCTATCATGGCGGGTCAGGTTAGAGGGATCTACATGGATGCTAACATGACGACCCCTGGTAGAAAAGGTGTCCGAAACGTTTGGCTGTCGCAAGAGGCGACTTAATTGTTTCTCGTGATCATGTTCGGTTATTTGGTTGATTGCGTGCCATCGTACTCCGATCTCAAATAATATGTGTGTCTTATGATATCAGCCACTGGTTTGTCCGGTCCAAACGCGAGTATTTATATAGACCGCCGTGATATATTGCTGACTGCAGCGTAAAACTACAAACAAATGGACAGGATTCAATCAAGAACGACTTCATTAGTTTCAGGGCGGTCGGGTAGCCTAGTGGTTAAAGCGTTCGCTCGTCACGCCGAAGACCCGGGTTCGATTCCCGACATGGGTACATTGTGTGAAGCCCATTTCTGGTGTCCCCCGCCGTGATATTGCTGGAATATTGCTAAAAGCGGCGTAAAACAATACTCACTTAATCACTTAATCATTAGTTTCAGTAAATATTCAAGATGCCGCTTTCTCAATTGTAGGTACGATGGACGAAAGGTCACTCTGTCCTCGCTGTGTCTGGAAATAATGAAGACGTGGGTGGAACGCTATCAGGCCGTAATGAAAGGAGGATGTACTATCAAGGTGAGTACTTGATATGTTTTAAAAATTAATATCATTACATGTAGCATTGGGAACATGTTAGTCTTTCTGACACAAGCAGGGCATATATATGTATGTATGAATGTTATGGATAGTCACACACAAATAGGACCATGTTCTACGTTAGCTGTACTGGACGTGAGGAATGACAATCAAACACCTATATTATGTTTATGTTCCCTTTTCACACCTTTGACAAACATATATATATACCGTAATATGTTTATTCAGAGTCAACAAATGTCCTAACACAAGAGATCGTCATCGGCAGATTGAAAATCCTTCGGTAATGCCTTGATGAATACTATTGGTACCACATAGAACTTTAAATACATTGAGTTTCAGATCCATCTGTGGCTGGGAAACGCCATTGTTGTGTGTGAGACAGACCTCCCTGAAGACCTCCAGTTTGACTTCATTGATACCTCCAACATTGCCGACAAAGTTGGTCTTATCTTGCTGTTGTTACACTGTCAAGAGAAACTGAAGCAGTAGGTATCTCACAGAAGAAAGTTGCCATAATCAAGATTTTTTGTTAATAAAATGCATGTATGGAACTGACATGTTTACTTACCAGTCACTAGAAACCAGGTGTGCATGTGTTCCCGTGAACACTTGATTTGCCATTGCGTGACATGTGGGGCAGGATACGCTCTCCTTTTGTCCAACTCCTGGTATCGTCACTATTTGATTTGATTTCATAAACATATGCGTAAGATATAGTCAGACAGTGGTGTACTAGTTGAAAAGTCAAATGACTTTTGAATAAATTGAATTGAATGAATTGTTTACAACTGGTATCTAAAATTTCTAAGGAAAAATACTTCACTTAGTTAATACTCGATAAAATGTGCGGTGACATAGTATAAGACAATATTTGTTATGATTTTGTAAAGGGTTTTGTCGCTTTTACTTATGATTACTTAAAATAACGTTTATCACTGACAAATTGTTCAGAACTGATATCTTTTGATTTTGTAGGTCAAAATACAATCTTCTTCTTCTTTGTTGTTGTGTAACACCGCACTCAACAAAATTTCAGCAACATGACAGCTCTAGATAATCGAATCTGGACAAGACAATCCAGTGATTGACATCACGAGCATCGATTTTCGAAATTGAGATACGATGACATACATCAACTACCTCAGCGAGCCTGACCACCCGATCCCGTTAGTCGCCTCTTACGGCAAGAATGGGTAGCTGAAGACCTATTCTCTACCCGGATCTTCACGGTTCCAAAATACAACCAATACTCGATATAATGTTCAGTAACATGTGATAGCGTAAGACAATATTTGCTATGATTACAAAAAGGGTTTCGTCGCATTTTTTAAGGAACTCATGCGTCCTTTTTTTATGTTTAGCCCAAACGGTGTGCTGCGGACGGAAAGCTTTTTCTGGAATAAAGTCGTCTTTATTTCAGTCAAAAACTTTCTGTGTCAATGTTTGGACATACCCGTGTCATATTACCCAACCATGATAGGTCTCCATCTTGCTGAAGAACTCACTCTTGGACACGAGTAAGTGTTGGGGTGAGTGAGTGAGGGAATATGGTTTTACGCCGCTTTTAGCAATATTCCAGCATTATCACGGCGGGGGACACCAGAAATGGGCTTCACATTGTACCCATGTCGGGAATCGAACCCGGGTCTTCAGCGTGACGAGCGAACGGTTTAACCACTAGGCTACCCGACCGCCCCTAGTAAGTGTTGGGAATGACCCCTTTGACACAGTTTCAGTGAGCACGTAGAGCATTATGCATATTGACATGTAAAACTCCTTTGACGACTTGAAATGGTCAACGTAAATCGACATACTGTAAAACTAGATGAAAGAAACAAAAGAAGGCACATGTTTGTATGAATTGTGAATGTCTCTGGAGGTAAACATCAATTATTTAGCAATGCAGTTAAAACATTACACATTCAAATTCATGTTTTAAACTATGTTTCCAACGCAAACATGTACAAGTATAATCATTGCTATGTTTTTTTAGGGAGCTTCTGCCAACTTACGGAAATGATGTACGTTCCAAACTCACGCTGAGATGGACAGCAGCGATAGCAAAGGATACCATTACAAAGCTCAGAGTATTAACAGATGGTAGGCCTTATAAAAAAAGATATTGTTTTAAACTTAATTTGTTAACATTTTCACGTGGCAGACTTCGGCTTCAAGCCTAAGTGTAATGGATGCGTAACGATATGGGGGAGGATATATTAAGAAATATTTTTATCGACAATGTATTTTTCATATGATTAATTCTTGTAATTAAGCAAACGTTTCTATTACTTATATGTGAAATCTAAGACATTATATCTTAGTGCAATACCTGTTGCTGTATTCGCTTTCATGTAGAGTAAAATTTGGAATTTCAATTTTGTATAGATTGTCTGAAAAAATGTTTTGTTGTCATTTTCAAGGAACTGATGCAGTGTCCAAAACTGTGTATGCGTTGGAAAACCACACAAAGTTGGATAAAATACCAACAACAGCTCTTGACTTGAACTATACAGGCAACAAAATTTACAGAAGATTGATGGAACTTAAAGGTAATTTGTTACCTTACAGTCAGGAACACAATCGGCATGCTGACAATAACATAATGTTTTTTTCCCTCATAATTCCATAATATCCTAATACTATTTCTTAGCATTTGATATTTGATAATTCGGCTTGCACACACACACACACACACACACACACACACACACACACACACACATATATATATATATTTTCACAAAAGAAGAAACCTAAAGCCAGGTTTGTGTGAGGCAGGAAAATACATTTATACGCGGAACCGTACAAGGTATTGAGCCAGAGTATTGTGGAGAGAACACTTGGTGATTCTATTCATCTCAGTTATCGGTACATAGGAAAAATCCAAGGTGAAGGTCAGCTACCATCACTAGCGCGTATGTCCCCCGTTGGATTCGAAAGCGGCCTGACATCTCCTGAACATGGAAGAGACGAGTATGCGAATCACATCCTGGGAAATGGTAGCCCACTCGTCCTGCAACGCTAGGGGCAACTGCTGCAACATCTGGGGTTGTGGTTGCAATATCTAATTCATCCCACAGGTGACCGCCTCCGTGGTCTAGTGGTAGAGCGTCCGCCCGGAAAGCGGAAGGTCCGGGGTTCGATCCCAGGCCGCGTCATACCAAAAGACGTTCAAAGATGGTACTTGTTGTTACCTTGTCTGGCACTCGGCATTAGGGGGCTAAAACAAGGACTGGTCGGCTCGGAGTCAGTATGCTGTGTCTCAGTGGTTTATTCATGTTAAACTGCGGCATAGTATCTCAGTGAGCTAGCACTATAAATCGGCATCAATCCGGACTAGTACAAGCAGCCACACAAACACACACACGATATGGCCGCAATAATCTTGGACGCGACGTTAAACCCCATTTCACTTCACCTCATCCCACAGGTGCTCTGTCGAGGGCTATGGGAGAACATCAACGTTGTTGTTGTGTAGACAGGCTCTTGTGATCCGTGCTGTATGCTGTTGAGCGTTTACCTGCTTGAATATACCGTTGCCGTTGGCCGCAATTGGGAGGACGTTTGAAGGGAGAATTTCGTTGACGTATCGTTGAACCATGTCCTGCCATGATGGAAGATAACAATAACATCAATAACGCTACCCCTGCCTGTACGCAGTATCCGGCGTAACGTTCTTCCCGACGTCTGAAGACCCGGGCTCTTCCACCCCCTCGACGGAGGAGAAATCTTGATTCGTCGCTGAACAAGACATCTCTCCATTGCAGTTGAGGCCATACACTGTGTTGACGACACCAATGCATTCGTTGTTGACGATGTTGTTGACTCAGTATGACGCGTCGAACAGGATGTCTTGCTCGTTGACCTGCTGCTCTTAAACGGTTTCGTACGGTCTGGTCAGAGACGCGCAGTCCGGGTATTTGGGATGCAGTTGAGGTGGCTGTGGTCGTCCTTTCACGCAGGTGGCGCAGTCGGATGTAGCGATTTTGGGCGGGGGTGGTTACTCGTGGTCGTCCCGACCTTGGCCGATCTAGTGTTGACCCATGCTGTTGAAACCGATCCCATAGCCTTGTGATGGTGCTGGGCGCTACATTGAAAACCCTGGCTACAGCTGATCGGGATTCACCTGCCTGAAAGCGGCCCATGACGTTGTTTCTTTGCTCTTCTGTTAATCTTGGCATGTTGTTGAACTGTCACTGTTCGATTGACGCAGATGCCAGGCTAAAGAAAACCCCAAACCCTGCACTTTAATACCGTTCATAGTGCAGATGCACGTGTGGTACGTGCAACTCCGTGGCCCTTTTGTTAATGCACTGGGTGCGTTTTTCCGAATCATACGTTTTTCCCAACTATTGGTTTGCATGTCCTTGTCCATTTTAACACGGGAACTTTTTCTCTCTCACTATAACACATTAAACCTCTTCATATTGCACCGCTTGGTCCGCTAATTTGCTTTAATGGCCCCAAATATCCTTTTTGCGTTTCTTTTTTTGAAGAGTATATCTATACATCTTCATTCTCTTATGTTGTCGGTTTCTCTGTAAGCAAAATCCATGTAAGTCTTTGTATGTCAGTTGCGTAAAAATATTAGCAAGTTTATGCATGGATGTTATTAAAAAAACAAACAACTATCTGTTAAGCATCAACCACTTATTTGTTTATCCAAATTGTGTGAAAGGCGGGTGCTATCGGTACGGCACGACATGCTCGCCCTTTTCGTCACTTTTCAGTGATCCATTCATAAAATGTCCACCGCAATTTTGACTTATATACACAATGGAATCTCTTTCGAAAGATAACTGAGACTGATTATTCTCTTGCGTTGACGTTTTATATGATAGTAATGACCCACTTTCTATAACTGCAGATTCAACGGCAGGTGATGAATACGTAAGTTCTCTTTTTTAATGCTATCAGTAAAGGTTACATTTCAAGATTACACATGGCAGTGATTCTGTGATCGAAGCGACATTAACATTAAAGCACACGCCTAGTTTCCGATGTTGGCTTTACAATTTTAGAACATGCAATAAAACAGTTAATTAAATAGAGAATCTCACCTAAGTGTCTTTTCATATCAAATAATAGTATATCAACACGAGTTGAAAAAGTGAAAAAACCCGTTTTTTCCACTTTTATCAACGAGTGTTCATATATTTGATATCAAAACACACGAGGGTGAGATTTTAATTATCATCCAACATCATTCTTCAAACTTTTTCAGTTTTTAGACAGCAATAAGCAGTGTATAAAGTACTGCTAACAGCTTCAGTAGCAGAGCCATTAGTGAAGTCATTTGATTGTGACGTCATGGTAACCAATGGTCTGCAAAGCATTGTGATGCAATTTCATTGCAGCGATATCTACAAGCGATATCTGCAGCTTGATCTCACCCTTGGAATATCTCCTGTGGGAGCCAGTTGTGGATGATAAAGAATGTTTATTATTTTTTACAGTTTGTTGTCGAGTTCCCTGACTATTACTCGGTGATCATCTCAACAGAACCAGACGGTTCGGAGAATGGGGCTTTCAAAGTTGGGATTGTTGATGGAGATCCACAGGTTGTTATGCTGCAGTGTATCGAGAAAGGGTAACTCTCTATTTTGGAATAACAAACAGTTAAAGAATCTAGTTGGTGTTCAAAGTTACAATTCAAGTGATATGATCAAATTCATAATTATATTATGTTAACTTCTCATATGTTTAATGAGCTAAACTGTGTGGACCATGTTCCGATTGAATTTCAACCTCCAAGATAATGTTTCATAAACGGCAGGCCTGATCCGACTGGTATTCAAATAATAAAAAGCAGACTTAGCACACACGCACGAACGCGAGGACGCACGCGTGCACGCACGCACGCACGCATAAACACACACACACACACACACGAAGAACAATCCCTGTCGTATGATTATTCCATGAATACACATGTGCGTGCGTGATCAATAGAGCTAATGAGCCCTTATTTTTGTTACCTTCTCAGGATCACAGTAAGACTACACTTGGCATGCAGCATCAGTCTCAACTCGACCAGATTTATTAGTAGGGAGGATGGAACTGTTGAATGCCGCCTGATCAAGAACTCTGATCTCATCGCTGGGGAACGTGTACTTCCTTGGAAGAAGCTTGATGTGAGCACTGTGGCTGAACTTGCTGATTTCCCTCAGTCGAAATACCGGGGAAGCACTTTAAAAACATACACTTCACGTATGTGGATTACAGATGCGACCTGTGAATTAATGCCACCAGAGAGGCAACTTGCGCACATCGTGGAGTTCATCTTTGGGGTACGTATGTAACTACGTTGCTCCTTGAGTAAAGGTCAAAAGCTTTTGACGAAAATACAGTGGGTTTTGTCGCTTTTATTAAAGGTTACATTGGCGTCACAGAACGCTCGGCACAATTATGAACCTTTATTCAGGGAATATGTTTTGATGTTTTGACGAGCTTGAGCTTCCTTTTCAAACTTTGATCCGTTCATATGAACTGCATTAAAATTGAATTTGGTATGCATGCATATGCAATACGCAATACACTTAACCTCCCAATTTAACTTTTCTTTTCACCAGGCATCATCATCTATCAAGATCAAATCATCAAAGCCATCCGGCAAGACTACCAACATCATATTACAACTGGAATGCTTAAAGATTTATGAGAATAAGCCTACAATGTTTTTGAGTTATTTTGATTTCGACAAGGCAAAACATCTTGTTTCGCAAAAGAAAATGAATAACGAAGAATTTCAAATTGCCTACAAAAACTTTGAGCATGCATGTGTGGAAATGGACGCTCCATCACCCAGAGAAATGAAAGAGGTAATTAATGCCTTCAAAAATATGCTTTTATATGGATTCTGTGAGGGTCACACAAGAACGCATAAAACTGCGGGGACATTTTAGTACTGCCAAATATCCTTCTGTTTCTGCCCACATTTTTAGTGTTTGTGCATGTGGCCACTTGACTTATTTTTGCAGGTGTTTGTGACGGGTGCCATCGTTGGGACAGGATACCCTCACGTTTTCGCGTACTCCTGGTATCAACACTATTTGATAAATAAATATAAATGTGTCATCACCAGAGAATAATCAGTCCCGATTTTCTGCCGAAACGGATTCAGTTGGACATAAAAGGCAAAATAGCTGTGAAAACACATACTTGTGATATAATTGGAATCGTACAATCAATTCTAATGATTATTCAATGGTGAATTTGTTGTCTATTTTTAGAAAATATTATTTGCCTTTCAGTTATAAGAGGACCCGTGAAGATTCCGGGGTCTTCAGCAACCCATACCTGTCGTAAAAGGCGACTATGCTTGTCGAAAAAGGCGACTAACGGGATCGGGTGTCGGGTGACAGGTTCGCTGACTTGGTTGATACATGTCATCGATCCCAATTGCGTGGATCGATGCTCAAGATATCAATCACAGGATTTTCTGGTCCAGACTCGACTAATTTACCGACCGCCGTCATACAGCTGAAATATTGCTGAGTGCGGCGTTAAACAACAAACAAACAATCAAACAAATGTTACAAGAGCCTTAACCTTTTTCGTCTTTTTGTATGGTTTGAAACAATAACTTGAGTGTGATCCATACATGGGTAATGTGCAATAAATGCCTTTTGAAAAAGTAAACTCCCCCAAACTATACTTTAAAAACACTCGAAGAACCCGAAAACCTTTGCACGTGCTTTTTTATGAAGAATATCTATTACCATGCCCGATAATTGCCGAATGATATACAGTTAGTTATTAACCACAAACTACGCAAGTGTCTTCAGGGCATACCCGAACACATTTCATTACAATGTCCATCACAATGTCACAAATATTAGCCATCCCCTCTCAAACCTAAGGCCGTGGATGCCATGAGTGTTTGCATGGATCATTCCAGCAAAATATTTAATTACTTGAAGGCTTTTAAACTGGATTTCATGAAGATCATGTTGAAAACGTCATTTTCCCACTTTCTCTGCGTATCATCATTACGTTTGACATTCGATCAGTTTCTGACAAGCACACTTACAAAAAGTATGTTTCGGCTTTTTGTCTATTCCAAATTTTGAAACATATCTTTGGGCAGAGATTTCTTATGATTATGTAAAGTGTTATGTCGATTTTATTAAAATATATCTAGATATTATATAGTAATGTCACATGTTCAGCATTTCTTCACTGCGTTTGTATATGAAACTTGAAATGTGTGTTATGGCCTTATCCGACAATACATCGTATAATTTTACATATTTGCCTCTTTTCTGAAACTATAAGCATTGAATACATTGAATACTAACAGTCTGACACAACGGTTTGACTAACATCTGCTATGAGAATATTGTGAAAAATTATTTATGTTGTTAAAATTACAGAGATACGAGCCTCTTACTATTCCTTTTATCAAAACAAAGACGGTGATAATGGAACTGCCCTCATCGCACCCGTCTTAAAATTAAAATTCATCGTATACAGATTCTATTAATTCGGTGATGTATATCTACATTGTCATGTTGGTGTGTTCTTCTTCAGGGTTACGAGTTGCTGGTGAAGATGATGGAAATCAACTCATACCGTATGACCCAAGATCAGCCTGAAGACAAGAGATGGATTTTGAAGACCTTCGTTAGAGGACGGTATCCCTACACGGACCAAAATACATTCTGTAAAACAACGTCCCTTGCTCAGCTCTTCGCCACACGTGAGTTGTATAAAATGTATGTTAATAAACACAGTCAGACTGTTTAGGTTTACATGAGTGGAACACAAATACATGATCTGATAATTTGAAAATGTGTGAATACTAACCACTTACAGATGCATCAACCCATTGCTTCATTTGATTTGAACCCTGTTTACAGAACATGTATCATATTTCTTTACATTTACATTTATTCACAATACATGTTGTGCTTAAAGTTGATATTTTAAGCATCGGACATTTAAAAATGTTGGTAGGTGATATGTCTAATAATCTTGATCACTTATACTAACGGTCTTAAATGATAGAAGGAAGAAAATGGAAAGGCATCGATTGGTATACGAGAAAAATTAAATTGCTAAAAAAAGATAAAACAGCATAGGAATCATTGCATGTTTCAGTTGGTATGGGGCAAAAGGCTGCATCACGTACTACCTCAGACAGTGGGGCAGCTTCATCGAGTAACTTGAAACAACTGTGTGCAAACTGCGGTAAGACATCACCAGACTGTAAGAAATGTGCAAGGTGTAACAAGGTATCTTATTGTGGCAAGGCATGTCAGAAGAAGGCCTGGTCAGTCCACAAAGGAGTCTGCAAGGAAGAGGAAAATAAGCACTCTTTGCCATCTTGTGCTTACTGCGGTAAGACATCACCAGACTGTAAGAAATGTGCCAGGTGTAACAAGGTGTCTTATTGTGGCAAAGCATGTCAAAAGAAGGCCTGGTCAGTCCACAAAGGAGTCTGCAAGGAAGAGGAAAATAAGCACTCTTTGCCATCTTGTGCTAACTGCGGTAAGACATCACCAGACTGTAAGAAATGTGCCAGGTGTAACAAGGTGTCTTATTGTGACAAAGCATGTCAAAAGAAGGCCTGGTCAGTCCACAAAGGAGTCTGCAAGTCAGAGGGAAATTAAGTTTACTTTGCTACTTGTTATAACAGGATCTCTTCTCAGATTATCAAATTCTCCAACCCTTAGTTAATCAGTTAGGTTCCACAAATGACCTATGACCGTGCTGTGTGCACACGACTGCAAAGACCAATGCCTCATTTTCTCAGATTTTTATATATCTATCTTATTAATATATAGTTACTTAAACAAAGATATATAAAGATTTTGTAAAGAGGAATTTTGTATCCCGATAAAGTAATTGATGCATCTTTGTAGTTCGAAATGTTAGTTGTTTCTAGCATGATATGTATTTGGTCGAGAACATAACATTGCATACATGTTTCCGATTTGAATATAAAACCATATGACTAATTCTATATGACACTCTTTAAAGTATTATAGAAAATGTGTACCAGTTCAGTTTCATGTAGATGTGCTGCTGTATTTATATATTAAGTTATGAAATACTATTTTATCTGAAACTATGAACTGATATTTGACACGGGTGATATAAAACCTTATATCCCGCTTCAATGTTTTCAAATTTAGATCAATAAGAAAAAAACACATAAAACCCTTGGCATGTGTCAAATAACATGCTTTCTCATCTACTGACCGACTTCACTTGTCAAACTCTGAATTTGACCGCCACCACAAGAAGATTTTTTAATATAAATATACGTCTACTATGCAAAGGTTATTGGCATTGATGAAATCATCAAATTGACTTCTTTCAAATGGTCCCATTGGGGAATTGTTTTGCATCAAAAAGGCCGAGATAGAAATATCTCATTTGAAGGTTTATGTTTTCTAATTTCTAAATAGTTATTCAAGCTTTCATCGTGAAGATCCGGATTAGAATAGGTCTTCAGCAACCCATGCTTACATAACAGGCGACAATGCCTGTCGTAAGAGGCAACTTACGGGACCGGATGGCCAGGCTCGCTGACTTGATTGATGCATGTCATCGTATCTCAGCTGTGTAGATCGATGCTCATGATATCAATCACTGGATTGTCGGGTCCAGACTCGATTATTTACAGACCGCCGTTATATAGCTGGGATATTGCTAAGTACAGCGTTAAGCAACAAACACACATCATTAAAGTATCAATTAGGAATCGTTACATCTGCAGTCGTTGAAATAATGCTTTTGGATTTTGAGTGCATGATAGAATTGGACCTTCTCCCGCATTACTGTATAGTAAATGTAAAGATGGGTTGAGAATGTTAACAAAAGTCCACAGCGCAAGATAATTTTATCTAGAGCCCTGGAAAAGGGAATTTCTAACAATGTTTTAAGCCTCTAATAGCAACCCTAGTTTATATCATTTCTCTTTGATTCACCTGCAACGTGGAATACATTTGGAATAATTCTCTTTCTTTATTCCACAGGTGAGTTTGGCTCCACAAATCGATCTTAGCGATAACTTACGATTTTCTGTTTGTGTGACGGATACTTGTCTGTGCTTATGTCACGGCCTTTAACAGGAATACTTTATATTACATATTACATAACTTAGCAACATTTCACTTTTTAACATTATCTGTCCATCAGTTTTAACATCATCACACTTTGTCAGTTTCATATGTTTGTTTATGATATATTTTTATGATATAGTGTACCAAGGGAAAAAATGTTTTGATTTAATGATTAAATGGCTTGCATGTGTTTGTGACTGGTGAACCTATGGGGCAGGATACGCTCAAACCTGGTAAATTACTATTTGAGAGTCATTCATAAATATATGCTTATGACATAGTGCGAATCGTACTATGAATCTTATAATTACAGACATTGTTTTGTTATTTAAACTAAGACTAGCATAGATACAGTGTAAGTGATTCACAAAATTATGCTGATGATATATATGATTATGGAAAGGGTTTTGCCACGTTTATTTCGACTTAATTGTAATATTTCAGGTACCTCAGTGATTTATAGAAATTAATATAATTTAACAACACATTATTCACCTCTGACAATTATGTCAAAATATACCTTCATGTTGAATATGGTCCACATTATATAATTATCATATATGCTTTGTTTGAAGAAGATTATGTCATACAGTTTCCAAATACAATTCTGATGCAGTTACAGTTACAACTTTGTAACGTGTCATGTCTTTTTTTGTTGATCCATGTATTAAAATGTAAATTCAAGATAATATTTGAAAATGTTACCTAAAATTAAGACCGTGTAAAATACTCAATTTAATATGGTAAAATTCCTTGGGATTTTTTTTCGCAACGCAAGTTTGACGACGCATGCTAATGCAAATAATTTTTGGTTTGTTTGTCAGTTTTGTAGAAATGCAAAGTACTAACACGCCACGCTTTTCTTCCTTGTGTACTATAAGAATACATAACTTCTAAGGTAAGACACATATTTATTTAGTCTCCATGGTATGAAACATATCTTGGCAACATATATATGATCAACATTAAATTTTCTGAACTGCTTATCTGGATGATCATATATAGTCTGCTAAAAGAAGAAACGCAAAAGTAGCAAAATTGCAAATATCCGACAGAGTGTTGCCGACATCCATATAAAATTAATAACTAAAATGAATTGGTCATTTCTGCATGGATTGGGATTTATGTGTGAGAAAAGAATGAGGTACTGCAGAAATTTGGTGAAAAGAATCACAACCACGAGATAGCCTGGCGCCGAACACACCAACATGACATGCAATGTGCAACGTCACTTGTTGGGCCACAACAAAACGTTGGGTCTTCATTTGCATGCCATCACAATCTTACAGCAAGTGAACAGCGAAAACATGCCACGCCTGACGGAAGCCCAACGCCACAACGCCATCGGCCGACTGCAAACACGAGAATCATCTTCAACTGTAGCCAGGTTTTTCCACGTAGCACCAATCACTATTACAAGACTGTGGAACCGTTATCAGACACTCGGGACAACACGTGACCTTCCCAGATTCACGTCACTTACGTGAAAGAACCATCACGGCCACCAGGATTGCCTAGGATATCAGCCCAGACAGTGAGGAACCGTTTACGGGATAGACGACCAGTTTGGGGTATCATTTTGTCGGACCTGGTTCTTCGTCGGCTGCGACATCAATGGTGTCAAGCTCACAGAGTATGGCAACAACTGCGATGAAGAGAAGTTTGGTTTAGTGACAAATTCACGTTTTATACTTAGCAGTGCGGATGGTGGACGTCGTGTTTACAGGCGTCGCGGGGAACGATATAAACGAACTGCATACAGGAAGTGGCCAGATTTGGTGTCGGTAGTGTGATGAGGAGATTTCCTATACTTCCCATTATGCAACAAGCGAACGTCATTTTCCAACAAAGAGAACGCCCGACCTCACACGGCAAGACTGACAACATCATTTTTCAGGAATCACAACATCCAGGTCCTGTCATGGCCCCCCAGGTCTCAAGGTTTAATCCTAAAATTTATTTAATTTATGGGATGCACTGGATAAACGTCTGCGAGCACATCATCATCAGTCACAGGCGTCCGACAGTTGGCACAAGTGGATGAGCATAAATCTTTGTAAATACATAAATCTGCAAACTGAATTGTGAAAATGTGAATTTTATAGCATCAGAGTGAATGCGACATTATTCATGTACATAGAGGTTATCACGCGAGTTTGTATGGGGATGGTAAATATCCTGCATTAGGAATAAACATTGTATTTAGCGAGCCTGACGTTGTTGACAGTCGGTCTGTTCTGTCATAACGTTAAGAAGTGTAGTCAGATGTACACACAGCGACAAAACGAAACAAGGTAACAATTCGGCCAAATCCAACTATTTTAAATTGTTGAGAAAGGTTCCAGCCGCAGAGGTCTACATGCACAGATATGGCTACTGATCCCGCTTGTCTAGGCCTCGTGCCCTCGCAAAATTGTGTCGAAATTTGTATCTCCAAAGTTGCCAAAACGTATAAAATGCCTTAGCTACGTCACAGTTAGACACTGATTTTCAGTATATTAGACTGTTCTTTTGATAATGAAATCAATTATCTCTGTAGTTTATCCAGATTCCCGATGGTTAATGCTGACTCGATCGCCGAATGACGAGTGCGACGCCATGTTTGTTTATAAACAGTGAAAGTAGTGCCTACTTGACCTTTGATATTTGCATCTCTATCCGCATATGACCCCAACGGATATCGTTTTTATCCGTTGGCTTTATCCTGCCGAGAAACCTACCCATTATATGATAAAAATTTATCTTGGTGCCTTCTGTCTGAAGAAATAAACATATTTCAAGTCATCTACCTTTATCTAAGAAACCTGTATAGATAGTAGACCTTCATTCACCCATGGCCGGGTAGGCTAGTGGTTAAAGCGTTCGCTCGTCACGCCAAAGACCCGGGTTCGAATCCCGACATGGGTACAATGCGTTAAGCCCATTTCTGGTGTCCCCCCGCCATGATATTGCTGAAATATTGCTAAAAGCGGCGTAAAACCAATCTCACTCACTCACTGTTCCAAGAAGCGTGTGTGAAGGTGTTGTGTACGTCCATGTAGTCACGGACGTTTGACTGTGTAGATATTGTATGGATCACGATCAAGGTAAGTTCATATAGTGACAATATCTTACCAATGAAATGTGATGAACAGACACAGGCCTCGACGCAGGTCACATATTTTTTACTCTTTCCTGTCAATGGAAATCACGGATAAGATTATATTGTATTCATTCACAGAGAAATCAGATAAGCTTCCGAATAAAGGGGCAAAGGGCTGTAATAATAAGAAGAGACTGACATTGTGAGGTAAAATGGGCGATTGCTTCCAAATGTACACATTTTACACTTCCTTTGTTGCAATTACATACGGGTATAGAAAAATATTTTCCTTGTATAGCTAGCTTCCTGAACAACATTGAATACTGAAGACATGGGCAATATCACGTTGCCAACGGGTTAGGGCTGATGGGTGGGGATTTTTGGTTTGAGATCTGCGTTACTTTTCATAATGTGCACGAACTCAATTATTTTTTTCAACAGAAATAGGTGCTCAGTTTTTATGTTTGCAGACATATTTAAAGGTGCCAATTTGCTAGATGCAAGCTCGTCATACATGATGTCTTTCAGTGTTGTCCCTTCCTCCATGCAACGTGGCAAAGCCAGTGAAGTTGGTGTTGTTGGAGCATGGAGCACAGCATATTTCGCGTACTTTAGTTTTCGCCATCAGGCGAGCCAGATTGAATAACTTCCCATCCGATCTTGTGTATAGGTAGAGGGTTCAAAACATGCTACAGTACGACTGCGAAGACGATTCCACACAGGGTAAGGGTAAGTACACAGCACTGCTTTACTTCATTGCGAATGTAGAAAGTTTCAGAAGACAAGAAGTCAAACTTCATGATGACCTTTCATGTCAGTGTGGAGTGACTGGATCATCCTGAGACGCCAATCACAGCAAACAAGGTCTAAGGTTATTTGTGAGGTCGACAAATGCGACATGGCTTCTATGCTCTCTGTACATTTCCTGCGATGATCAGAGATCCAGACGCTTCCAGCGCTTATTACAGACGCTTCTATCACCCTTGTTCTTGTACAAGGTGACGTCTCAGCGTTGCAGTCTCTCAGACGTTAACGGGGGTCACTCAGCAGGGCCCCTTTCTGCAGTTGTCGGCCTCTGGAAGGATCCTACCCTTATCGAGCTCTAACCCAAAAAACAGCATCCCGATGGCCTCAACCACCGCCTACACCGAGGATTTCCCGTCCTCCTCCTCTCTCCATCTGCTTGCCTTTGTCGCTGATTGTTTAACCCAAGGCAGATTTCAGGGGAAACATCTTGATTTGAGTTGGACAGATGTTGTACGCACCTTGAACGATTCTATCATCAGTAGATAATTGAATGTTCTCGCAGACATGCAGTAAGTATTCATTCTCGCATGTTATTTCTGTTTTCCGAAATTTGTTTCCTTCTGTTCTGAGTGCTTGTTGGGGCTTCTGGTTGGGGTAGCATTTGAATCTTATTAGTGCTGTTCCCCTTTTCTCAGTGACAGGGATGAGACCGAAAGGTTGAGAATGAAGCAGCGTGTAGAGTGTCTCTCCAATGGCCCCATCTTTGCTTGTCATCTCCCTGTGGAGGTTCTGTAACCAGGTAATCGTACAGGGCACTAGTAAAGGAGTCTTATCTCTGGGTGTGTGGTCTTGCAGACACCGATACGTGGATATGTATGCGTCCCAGTCCGCACTGAGGTACAAAGATGTGATAAGCACTTTGCTGAGGTGGCGCCGCCTAGTGATGATCAGCTTAGACCTGGGTGCATCTAGGGTTTGTATCGATAGGAACATTTGATGTACGTACACTGCTTACTCGAGACCCGATAAACACCTTAGCTTCCCATTCAAACGTCCGTACTCGAGGCCTGATTTAAATGATCATGAAGAGAAACATTTAAGAGAATTTAATGTAGTTTATAAAACATTTTAATAAGATATCGTCAATACCATGAAGGCCAAAATATTATCTGCTATAATTGTTTACTCATTACCGTACTTGACGATGAAGCCAATTTCAAATCATCCCACCTGATAATTCAATCCAGTTTAATCGGCTTCCTCGTCGTGTGTTACTCTGTGCCTGATGCTGTTACAATAGTATCATCCTGTTGTTATTCGTTGACATGGGTACAATGTGTGAAGCCCATTTCTGGTGTCCCCCGCCGTGATATTGCTGGAATATTGCTAAAAGCGGCGTAAAACCAAACTCACTCACTCACTATTAGTTGACATACTCTTAATAACCCCTCTCATATATGATTATTGTTGTTACTGTTAATCCTCCACCTACCATTTTCATTAATGAGTCTTGCAAAGGAACTATACTGAAACGTCTACAATACAGAATAATATAAAAGTTTTTATGCATACTTTTTGGTCTACTTGTCATCCTTCACCTTCGAAGAAATGCCTGTACATGTACAAGTAAGAAGAAAGTACTTTATAGCAAAGAATAAAGAAGAGGTGCTTCATATGAAAATTGAGCCAATTGGATATTCAAACTCCTTTTTTGAAGAATATTATGATTGCAAAACGTAGCACATCCAAACACATGAAACATACTCCCCCTACTTTCATTGGTTATTAAAGCGAGGGCCGATTTGCCAAATGTTATAACGCAAAAAGCTTATCGTCATTATGGTGAGCTCATAGGGTGAGAAATGCGTGTTATGCACTGCATTGGGTATGCATTGAGTGTAACACTAATGTGTGCTTTATTGTAAATCCTTGCTTGGCACCGGTATAAGGATCTGTATTGAAACGTCACCATAACTGAGTGATACAGAAGGTGTTACTCCCTTAGAGTAGTATGTTACTGAATGACCCATGCACGATTCAAGCCTAGTAATTCATGGCGTAACCGCAAATGTTATACTCTGTATTGTCATTAGTTATATTTCATGTATGAATTGAAGGAAAGCTGGAACGAAGAACATCGTTCTACTTTCAGTTTAAGTTCCACGTGGTTTCTTTCCTCGAAGTAATCTTATCTGTCGCTGTCCAGGTATCAATAGAACTATGTATGACGTGTCGATCTCTAGATAACGGGTGAAGGTGATTAACTGTCAGCTTATTATAACAGTAGTCGGAGATAGTAGTCATCACTATTTTTGTAAACAAATAGGTCAGTTCAAAACCATCCATGGTTGTGGCCGAATAGCACAATCGGGAGCTGTGACTGGTGGCAGTGGTAGTACAGAGAGCACCCTGAACGGGCTATCACTGTTAGGAGCTTGAAGAAACCTATATCGAAAGTAGACCTACGCTCACCCACGGATCTGTTCCAAGAAGCGTGTGTGAGGGCGTTGTGTACGTTCGTCTTGTCACGGACGCTTGAGTGTGGATATTGTGTTCAGAATCAAGGTAATTCCAATTAGTGACAATACCATAGCAATGAAATGTGATACTTAAACTCAACCCTGACGGAATATTTTATATAGATTTTTCGTTCATGTATGACTTCCCTTTCCTGACGGATGCGTGAAGGGTTCTCACTATTTATTATTCGTGGCGGGGTGGGTGAGAGATTTTCGACTTGTTTGAAACAGAATGTTACTGTTATTATATACTTCAAGTGAAAAACTGAATTTTCGGAAGTTGAGAAAAGTGATATTTTTATTGTAGTGAACATAACTCTTAATATTTCACTGCAGTCTTACAAGAGTTACACCCACCCCTTAAATGATCTCCCTTTATCGTAAGTGTCACGCCCGTACAAAAAACTGCTGAGGTCCTTGTTCCACATTGACAAGGCAAATAATGACAGATGGTCAGTTAATATCACTTCTTGCCGTTGTTATTTTCTCGACAATGTTTCTTTATAAACTGTAAATTTCTCATTTAACTCGTCACTCGAGACCGTTCGTTTCGCTAAGCACCATTTTTGGTACTGACCAGCGTGTATTCTTTCGCATCCAACAGCGGTCTCGTAGTTTTCAAGAATATTTTTATGCTAAAGTTGAGTTTGTACATAATCATATCTCAATGTACGATGTGACCCTACATATTTTTTGATACTTTTGTTAATATTATCTAAGATTTTGCAAACATGAAACTACTATTTAAGCCGCAAATACAAGAGTTGGTGAAGCGTTCCTGTGTGTTAGGTAGGGAGAATTTACGTTTTAAGGTTTTACATTTGTAATGAAATAATTTAATATTCCGCTGCATAAAAAGTATATAATAAATAGGATAATCCATGTGTCTCGTGAAATATCATGTTTCTCTCATCTCGTGACGGAGGAAAAGGAGATATATTCACAAATGGCTACGCCACTCGTGTTTTCATACTTATCCGTCATTAATCCGTAACTGTAACAGTAGTTATACCCCACTTCCGGTCTCGTTGCCATGGTTTCTTCTGTTAAAACTGTAGGTTCATTTCCCAATACATTCCGAAAAAAGTGTAGTGATATCAGCGATATCACTCCACTTTTGACCATTCCTATTTTGTGTAAAAAAAACCAACAGAAAAGGTCATCAAGGTTTTTATTAGCATTGTCCCAAAATAAGAACATAATTTCAAAACTGTCACCGTTCCGTTTCGTACATTTAATGGTAACAGGCTTTGCATCCGACTTGTCAGGCAAAGTGCATGTTGCAACTGGAGACTTGGGAGGCGATGCATTCGGTTCAATCTTTGATTCCTTGTTTGGTGGCTGGAGGAGATCCGATATTTTTTCTGCTGTGTTTCGCTCGTGCGCTTGTACGCTCTCACAGCTAGACTTCTGTGGCCCGTCCTTTCTTGAACCAGCTGTTCGTCCACTTTGTTGTGGAACAGGCGAGTTGCTGTTCTTACCTGAAACACTAAGATTAATTTGAAAAAAGGACATATAGGCATTTATGCCGCTATATGATACGATCATGCAAATACATTTTTAGTCCTTGTCATGCTGAAGGCTGATTTACTCTTATTAAATTCAGAGTAAAATGTATTCAACGGAGGAGTGGAGGAGGAGTTGGAGTTTTACGTCGCACTTAAGATTATTTCAGCAGTACAACGGTTAAATGAGATGTCAATGTAATAATATTAACCTTGCCAGAATGACCAGTGTGGTGTCCTGTTATACCAGCTTTGTCGCATATTTTCTTAAACAGCTTCTCAAACGTGTGCACGCCAACCTTCTGGTGAGAATACCTCACGTTTTCTCCGTCACGTGCTGACAAAGGTCGTCGATAGAAAGGTCCTCCTAGGGGGATGGATTCCATGTATTCTCGTAGCACTTTTACAATAGCATCTTGGGTTTGACTCTTGGACGTATTTGCGAACACGTCTGAAAATACATAGTAAGCGTTATTTAGACAGCTACATGAATCAGTTGACACAACGTGGTATTACGTTCAAGACATGTAAACATGAAACTGGAAAGATATTGTAAATTAGCATTAAAATAAACCAAAATAACGAAAATCTCCATATTTCTGCCGTATTTGTGTCGGACAGTGTGATGGAAATAGTTATGGCTTGCCAAATATCTCGCGATATGAGACACTAGAATTTTATAAACTAATTTAAAAGTTCTTACCTGAATGGAACCTTGCCACCTTGTTTTAGCCCTCCTTGGTTATTCTTGCAAGTTCCTCCCAGGAAATCTACAAATTCTCCCTCGTCATCTTTGCCGAAAACAAACTGATCTAGACGTAGCGAAGAATGTTCATCAGCCGCCCTTAATCCAAATATCTTGCAGTTGTAGAAATAAACTGTGTTGAACAGAGATTCAGAATTGTCAATACCGAATGTACTAGTCTCCCATAATTTCTCTTCTTCCAGTGGTGAAATGGGCTCGGCCTGTTTAACTACATTTCCTACACCTTCTGAATTCAGTTTCTTCATTTGGCCATCAAGTGTTGCTCTCAACCCGGCAAATTGCGCATTATCTGTATCCATGAACTTCAAGTCAAATCGCTTGTACTCTTCTTTGAGGTAACGCAGAATTCCAAGACATAGGTTCCTAAAATGACATGGCAGGTATGGACTTCCATCTTGGCGACGTACCTCACATATGAATCGACACATCCAGAAGTCGAATTCTTCAGCGGTTATGTCCTTCGTTAATGGGACAACATAGGCATACTTCTCGCTGTGTGTAGTACCATACGTTTTCACACGCGTGTTTCTATCACTCCCTTATTGATGTATGCATTATTGTACAAGTTTCACGTATAACCTCATGAAAACGTTCGTGAAGAAAAAGTACTATGCGAAGTGCATTCAATATTGATCGTTTGCATTGTATCGAGTTTCGCAAACTCCTGGTATCATTACTCTAAGTACAGTCTTGTTTGAAAGATTTCATCATGTAACGGATCCGGGTAGAATAGGTCTTCAGCAACCCAAGCTTGTCGTAAAAAGGTGACTATGCTTGTGGTAAGAGGCGACTAACGGGATCGGGTGGTCAGGCTCGCTGACTTGGTTGATGCATGTCATCCATCGCAATTGCATGGATCGATGCTCATGATGTCACTCACTGGATTGTCTAGTCCAGATTCGATTATTTACAGACCACCGTCATATAGCTGGAATATTGGTGAGTGCGGCGTTAAAAAAACAAACAAACAAAACTTCTTGTTACTTTGCCTGGCACTCGGCATTAAGGGGATTCAACAAGGTCAGGTCGTTATAGAGTCAGTTTACTGAACCTGAGTGGAGTATCCATGTTAAACTGGTTTCTCAATGGGGGAACACTAAAAAGATCGGACTAGTCCAAGAACGTCGCTGTATAAATGCAATATTCTTGAATGCGACGTCAAACCACAGTTCACCTCACCTCACTCCGCAGTCTTGTGGTGATGTTTCTATCACTTATGCATATAATCTTTATGCATAGAACTAAATATGAAACACATGCGGCGGTTTCATTGGTCTCTTTTAGTTCAGGTGCCTACATGAGTGGAAGGGTAATGACTATTTGACGCTTATTGAATGATATCAGATCATCGATATACCTGAAGGTTTAGTTCAACTGCTTTGCCAAATTCCTTTTTTTTATTTTGCCAATACGAGCTGAATGTCCGATCAATCAGCTGAAGAAACCTATATACCAGGAGAGGATCACACTTTGTGCCTATTGGAGTTACTTTTTGTCTATACGTCTTAATCTCACATAAATGTTATCAATGAGGAAGTCCAGCATTTCATAGTTTTCTCAGAAAACGTCAGAAGACATTTGCTAATAGATGTAAAATCTTCATGACATGTACACTATATAATAAGCTGTAGTATCCAACCAATCACTTCACCCATTATTGAAATATCCCCGATTACATTTTATCGTATTTGTTACAGCAATATGGAGGCGACTAACCTACAATTATCGTTGGTGTATTATCCGATTGGAAACACACGGTCAGTTGATGTGACGCTTGGATGTCATGTTGGTAGGGAGTGTGACATGCTGTTACTGGGGTGTGGTGACGTCAGGAACGTCCTGCATACCATGCACATACTTCAGACAAGAGGGACCACAAAATCAAAGGATCAGAGAATCAACATCCACCTCAATGACATTGAAGACAGTATCTTGGGGCGCGATCTGATTTTACTCTACCTCGCTGGAACAATTGATCCAAACAACTCTGAAGATATGAAGTTTCTGTGGGGAGTCTGGTTCGACGCCCTTTTGTCACAAGAACACCTGCAGAGGCTAAAGAAAGTGATGAAGGAAGTGGCGTCAGTCCAGTCAGGCAATAACGGGGTATATTTTGGAAATTTGAAAAGTGAAGTTTCCATCAAAAGGGCTCTTCTAGGGATGGAGAAAGCTGACATTAATGGTAAACAAACGACAGATACGAGATTGGAATACCTTGACACGACGTACAGAAGGGGTATGCCAATGGTAACCAGGGATTGGATAACAGGAACATTGTTTAGTCCTAAAGTTGACTTACCACAGACAGCAGTAGACTGGATGACAGCTGGAATCAGTGCCCATTGTGGTCGGCTTGATAAAGTACCTCGGCTCAAGGACAGGTATATTATCTGATTATTACCACACGGACAACGCCTCTTTAAATTTAGCTCAGAGTCAATTGCTGATCGAAGTTCAATACAACAGTCATGTTTGTTATTTCTAACATCGCTTCTATCATGTATTTACATTCCAGAACGCTAAGCGTTTTATGGAAACGTATTAGTGCCACAACCTAAAAAGATATCAACGTAGGTGATACTTTCATCCACGTACATCGTATCTACGTATATGATATTATAATCTGCATGAAAGAAAGTATAATCTATCGATTCATCGACTTTTGTAACCATATTTTCTCGAGTAATCGACAATAGTTCCGGGTCAGTGATATTTAACCTCTGGCTCAATTATTAACGACTATCGACCAATCTGTGTGTGGGGTTACTGAAGAATGACACACGCTGCAGTCTTTTACAACTGTAATAAAGAGAGGAGGGTACAAAATACTTTCCAAACCACAAACAAGCACACAACGATAGGTCATTATTCAACCATGGCATGGTTTAAGTCTGAGGTATCACTCGAATATGTTGATCCTCATGATTTCTCCATTACGGAAATGAGGTTTAAGATGTAAAACGTGAACATGAGTGAGTGAGTGAGTATGGTTTTATGCCGCTTTTAGCAATATTCCAGCAATATCACGGCGGGGGACACCAGAAATAGGCTTCACACATTGTACCCATGTCGCGAATCGAACCCGGGTCTTCAGCGTGACGAGCGAACGCTATAACAACTAGGCTACTCGACCGCCCCAACGTGAACATGAAGGGGTGAGAATCAATCAAACTTTAAAAAAAAACTAAATCAAACGAATGTTCGTCATCATCCTATGAAGCACTGAAGGTACAACTCTGCAGTTTCTAATTTTGATAGTTTGACCATTTGCAATTGAAATGATCTCAGTATGTTGTAAAAAATACGGAAAATAGACGACCAACATGCCCCCAAACAATAAATGAACAGTAATTTATTAATCACCTTTAATTTAAAATATTAATGTTTGTGTAAACTTGTATCCAACTTGGGTCACAACTTCTCTCTGAGTAACGATACGTGCGATAACGATATCACATACGTAGATAAAAGTATCTTCTACGTAGATATAAGTATCATCTGCGTAGATGTATGTGTCATATAATGGACTGATACAAATACAAAGGACAATCATCACCAGTGCCTTTGATAGGGGATGCTTTCATCAAGAATAATTCCTTCCCACAAACCCTTCTGCTAGTTCATGCTTCTTTAATCTGTGCAGGTACCATCAAGAGATCCGGGACTTCATTTCAACTGGGGTTACGAGGGTCAATTCAAAGTCGCTGTCGTCTGAACAGATGGTGGATAGTTTCAAGGGCAATATTACGCTATTGAGACCCGGGTGTAGTATTTGGGAAGTCCCGGATTCCTGCTGTCCATTCTTTTGTTACGACTTTGACCTGGAACTTCACAGGTAGAGAAACATAATTTCTCAGTAAACGTTCCTGTTTCGCTTAATTTATTGCAACATAAACAAGGTTTAAACGAAATACTTTAGCCCTTTTGCTGACGTTAAGTTAATTGATTTTCAGACATGATATGCAAGAAACTGTCATTGCTATGCCTTAACACGGTCGTGTATACAAAGTTTATATTTCTTCACGTTTACATGAACTGTACTCACACCTAGATACGATGGGCGTACGGTGACACTTGCCTCTCTCTGCTTGGAAATACTGAAGAAGTGGGTGGAAAGTTTCCAGGCAGCAATGAAAGATGACTGTGCTATCAAGGTACAAACAGTACACAGAATGAAAGGATAAAACATTTTCGAGTTTACAAAATGTATATTTAAATTGTATGACTTTTCCATTCATAGACGGGTGGCCAAGTCGTCCAAGGTGCCGCAATTCGCTGTGCAGTGTTCCTTGGGCACGCCAGAAACCTATGGTCGTGGCTTCGAATCCCGGTTGCCCCGATTATGTTTCTAGGTTTGACAGCTGGAATACTGTTATAAGCAGCGTTAAACACAAATCACTCACTCCTTTCATAGACAAGAAATCTGTGTCTTCTAAGTCTGACTGAAAATAATATTCCCTCTCAACCCCCTCTGCCACACAGAGTTTATGGGACAAACAACAGAGTCTGTGAAACGCCCTGGGAAATAGCACAATGGCCATGGCCCGGATCACCTCCCACAAGGAACCTCTGATGTGCACACCGGTGATACTCGCGCTCACAGTGTTACTGATGTCAACAGAGACGCGTTCTCCTTTTTATGTTGGAATATTGTTGGTCTTCTCAGCAAAATAAATGATGTTGACTTTTAACTTACATCAGTAAATCTGATATTGTGTGACTTGTTGAGACATTTGTTGTAAATATTCCAGGAAAACATTGGCTACATGGGTATGATACTTTTTACTGTCCTGCAGTTAAGTTATCCAACTATGGACGTTTATCAGGTGGTATTTGTCTGTGTGTACGTCAATCACTGAGTAGTTTCTGTAATGTTATACAAGCAGATAGAGACAACATAATTGGTCTCTCGTTATCTAAAGATTTATTTAGAATTGACAAAAATGTGAATTTGTTATGTACCTATATCCCTCCATTGGGGTCTCCTTATTATAATTATGTAAACACCAGTGGTAACATTGAAAAGTAGAAGAATTCTTAATAGATAATGATGAAATGTTTTCAAATTCATATATTTTAATCTGTGGAGATATGAACGCGAGAACAGGTGAGAGAAATAACCCTGATATTAGCAATAATGATGATAGCTTCAATCATACCTCCCCTTTCCCTGAGGAGGAGGATGACCCTGTTGAGGATCGTACTTCAAAGGATACAGTTGTAAATAGATTTGGTCAAATGTTGTTGGATTTATGCTATGTTTTTAAACTTTACATCGTAAATGGACGTGTATATGGTGATACTAATGGGGAATTTACTTATTGTAGCCAACATGGCTCTAGTGTGAACGATTATTTTGTAAGTTCACCAGATTTCTTTCAATTTATCAATATGTTCACTGTCGGTGATCGTTCTGATTCTGATCACTTTCCATTAGAATTGATGTGTAAATCTCCAAATATGGGTAAGAGGGGCAACAATGATTCATGTATGGATCCACAAGCATCAGAGAAAATTGTATGGAATGATTATTACTCCAGTTTGTTTCTCGATAACCTGAGATTTAATATTACTGAAAACAAAGAAATGGTCCTTAAAGAAATTGATAATGCTATTGAAAATGCAATTAGCCACTTTGTCGACATTGTATTAGACTCTGCTAGCTGCATGAAAAAGACAATACGACATAATTCACAATTTGCCAATCAAAAACCACTAAGTCTAGAATGTAGACAAGCGAAACGAGAAACACGTAGGGCACCTAGGAGATTTAGAACACAAAGAACAGTCGCTAACAGAATTGTGTACTGTCGACAAAGAAATCATTATAAATTTTGTTGCAGAAAATTTAAATCCATTTCACGTAAGAAATCAGTTGAATGATTGCATAGAAGCATAAATAGTCAATCTAGCTTTTGGAAACAGATAAGATCATTACAAAACAAACCCAGACAGAAGAATCATATAACAAAGCAGAATGGCTTTGCCATTTTAGAGTGGTTTCTGCAAATGACAATGTTTTTTCTCCTCACTTAGATGATGAAAATGAACTCAGTTCTAATCAGTTTACAGATATTGATGCATTCATACTAAATTCTACGATAACTGAACATGAAATTACATCATTAATAAATAAGTTAAAAAAAGGAAAATCTGCCGGGCCCGATCAAGTGCTGATAGAAATGCTTAAATGTTCCCAATTGGATATAATGCCATTTCTCCATAAATGTTTCAACAAACTCTTTGATAATCAAATATTTCCAAGCAGTTGGTCTTGGTCAGAAATAGTCCCTCTACATAAAAAAGGCGATCCGAGAAACCCTGACAACTGACAAGATAAATATACTAAGGAATTGAATTTATCTGTAAATTTAGATAAGACAGAAATTATAGAATTCAGAAAAGGGGGTCCTTTAAATTTTAAGGAAAGATGGTACTTAAATGGACAACAAATTAATGTAGTTAATGGTTATAAGTATCTCGGCATAATGTTTAATTCAACACTGAATATGGACAAATGTGTATCTGACTTATCACTGCGAGGGAAACGAGCTTTACTTAATATAATGTCTGTTTCACATAAACTTGGAGTTATTACACCAAAAGTATTTTTCAAATTTATTTGATACTCAAATACCGCCAATTCTATTGCATGGATCTGAAGTGTGGGGTTACCGAATATATGAATGTTTAGAAGGAATTCACCTACTGGCATGTGAAAAGTTTCTTCGCGTTGGAATAGCAACACCAAATAATATGATATATGGAGAATGTGGAAGATACCCACTTTACATTAATTCGCAAATAAAGTGTTTAAAATATTGGTTTAATATCATCCGTATGCAAGAACATCGGCTTCCGAAAAAAGCATATAACATGCACTTTCATTTAGATAGTATCGGTAAGGTTACATGGGTATCGCATATTAGGACACTATTAATCTCACATGGATATGGGTATATATGGCTTAACCAATCTGTTGGTGATCAACATTTATTTCTAAATGATTTTCGTAGTTAGCAATAAATATGTTCTATGAAGGGTGGCAATGCAACTTGGAAAACAGTTCACGTTATGATTTGTACAGAACATTTAAGACTTTATTAGAGCCAGAAAAATATCTATCAGTTTTAACAAATAGTCGCCTAAGAAATGTATATATTAAATACAGACTTGGCTTGTCAAAACTTATGATAAATTATGGACGGAATATATCACTTTAAAGAATACAAAGAATTTGTCTATTCTGTAACTCTGCTATAGAAGACGAAATACATTTTACTTTTGAATGTCATTATTATGCAGAACTACGTACTAAATATATACCAGAATGTTTCTTATCTAAGATGAGTAGAATAGCGTTTGTTTCTATTTTGTCATCGAATGATGCCGATGTAATGCTTAAACTGTCTTTATTTGTAAAACATGGGATGGAACTACGAAATAACATGTTGAGTGGACATTCAGAATTTTAATTACCTTACCCTAGAAAGTCCTCATGATTATCACCGATTGTTAAATGAATGTTATATTTTTATAATTTTTGTTGTATCTCCCAATCTGTAAATTCTCACCCAATGTATTAATCTGAACTTGTATATGGGCAGATGGCCTTTGATACAATAAACGTCTTTGACTTTGACTTTGACAAAAGCTCCTCATATATCATAATTAGTGCATTGCTATTATGAATGTTCAATTTCAGTTTATGATGTATTGTTTTGCAGATCCATATGTGGCATGGAGAGGCAACAGCAGTATGTGAGACGGACCTCCCGGAAGATCTCCGATTTGACTTCATCGACACGTCAAATTTAGCAGATAGAGTTGGTCTGATCGCTGTACTGAGTTGTTCTCGCGACAGATTGAAATCGCAAGTATACCCGAAGAACTCAAATTCAATAAAACAGTGTTGTCAAATCACTATAGTAACAACTTAAATGAAATAATGATAATGAAGCATACCATCTCCTGGGTGGCCCAGTCGTCTACGGCACATTCGTGTCCCTTGGCCGTGCCATACATTTGTGGTCATCGGTTCGAATCCTGGTTCGCCCTGATTATTTGTCTAGGATGGTAAACACACACACACACACACACACACACACACACACACACACACACACACACACACACACACACACACACACACACACACACACACACACACACACACTCACTCACTCACTCACTCACTCTAATATCTCTCTGTGTAACCTGTTGATGGTTTTGTTTTCGTTCAGGCCAAATGGACTGCTAAGGACAGAGAGCTTTAACTACACGAGACTAGAGGGCTACATTTCAGTAGAAATCTTTCTCCGTGGCTGCATTGATGTGCCAGTTTTGATGTATCCAACGGTGTTTGGTTTGCACCTAGCAGAAGACATCTCTCTTGGACATGAGTGAGTACTCGAAATTTCTTTGTTTACAGAAGAAATGTAGCATATATGTCATATTTATAAACTTCATGTTTGAACAAGTGACTGTAACACGTGATTTACAGAACATACGATCGACCATTTAAAAAGAACATATGTTCCAATGTTACTTCACTTTAAATGTTAACGCGAGTATTAGAGAATAACCAGTCACGATTACCTGACGAACCCGATTCATTTGGGCGTAAAAGTTCAAATGGCCGTGAAAATCATGGACCGATCAGTGAAATACTCTGAGCCTTCAACTGATCGTGCGTAGTAGTATTTATAGGAGATGAGGTATAACAGTCAAGATTATTCCACATAAGTCCAAGATTCGTAAGGGCAGGGATTTGCTACAAAGTGACTATTAACAAGTCACTTCTTTCATCAGGAATCTCCTGCTAACTCAGTCTGCACACAAACGTTCAAAGTTGACTTTGAAATGGAAAACAGCTCGGGAGCAGGAGAACCTGACAGCACTAACTCTTGCTGAAAACGGTATGTGACCCTTAAAAGTTTAGTTTAAAATATATCTACCTTAACCTTCACTCAACATCTCTCAAACCTTTGAAATAATCAAATACTGCTTACTCATATCAAATTAATGTATAGTCAAAGACGAAACGTTTCTTGGAGTGAACAAACAACTGAATGGTATGTGTGTGACTATGTGTTTAACAACGTACTCATACATCTGAGGAAGGGACACTTTTTTTGGACCAACAGAACATTATTGTTTTCAAAACATGCAGCATGTACTTCAAATAATCTGTTCTGTTTTGTACAAAATGAGAACAAATTATTTTCGGGAACAGATTATTTGCCTAAAACAACCCCCGTCTCTCACCAATACATAATATCACAGTTTCGTTGTCCTTGTTCCTGTTAACTAATCAAATTTATAATAAATTTGTAAGAATTTATTGGTATATATTTCAGCATCAGATGCAGTGTCTAAAGCACTGGAAAAAATTGAAAATTATCAAGGTTTAGACAGTGGAGATCCCTTAGTTGTTAAGAAGATGTGTGTCAAAAGAGGAAAGGACAAGATTCTGAAAAGGATTCAGAATATTGCTAAAGGTAACTCTAGCGTCGTTAAGCAACAAACAAACACTTGATTTGTATATGTCACAGGTTCCAAAGACATTTTTTAATTTGATGAGAGCCACATAGATTAAATTTTGTTTTTGATATCACCGGAGGCAGAATAAGTTTGTAAAAGAAATCCCCGATTCTCTTGCGACACAAAAATGGAAGCATCTCAAAAAAAAGATTAAGTGTTATCATCACAACTGGAGACATCCGCTGTCAGATTTCTCCAATATCGATGATAAAAAACGACATGATGCCGGTTCGAAGATCATGTTCCTGAAAGCATTTGCACACACTAACTTTACCAGTGAGTGAGTGAGTGAGTTGGGTTTAACGCCGCTTTTAACAGTATTCCAGTCATATCACGGCGTGTCAGCTTAATGTGGGAGGAAAGCCCGAAGTGATGCAGGTCTCAGACGTTTACCACTTCGGTGAAACCCACGAGCACGGGTATGGTGCTGACAAACCTAGAAACATAATCGGGGCGAACCGGGATTCGAACCCACAATCATAGGTTTCTGGCGTGCCCAAGGGACGCAACTCTGCACAGCGAATCGCGGCGCCTTAGACGACTGGGCCACCCGTGCCCCCCAAACTCACCAAGTTATTCTATGTTAATAGTTATTCTGATAACAGGCAACTGCAATATATAGTTTACGGACATATTCAAGTAAAATATGTTGAAAGCACAATTTGGAGATACGTAGTGTGTCTATGCATTACTCATGCTTCGTGAAAAATAGTAGTGTCTATCGGGAGTAGAGTAGACGTTGCACAGTGCTACTGACAACCCGAATGATGTTATTTACACAATGAGAAATATTCTAAAAATCTTTACTAAAAGTTCAAAGGCGCCATCTGTACTTTATCCTCCGACAAAGTGCATTTTTTGAGTTACGTCATAATGGACTGACGTCACGGCACAAAATGGTTCAAATTACCTTTCCCGTCATCCAACGAATCCGTGGTAACATCGTTCTTTCCTTACGGTCATGCAAGATGGCGCATCCCTATCAATTTGGGGTGAAATAGTTTCTTTAAACTTGTCTAATATTTGAATACATTTACGTTGAAAGAAATACGGCAAAATGTTATCAATCTTCTCTTCGGTATTTTATTTAAAGATATCAATAATGTTTTTAAAGTAATTTACGATATCTTGAATTCAATTCTGATATCCAAACCACAATAACTGATATCTTAAATGTTACTATATCAACAAAATATTTCGTGATATCTCTTAATGTATTTAAGATATCATTAAACAATTACCATCCTGCTGTACATAATCATATTAGAAATATATTCAAGATATCCTAAATTCAATTCATGATATCTTGAATAAAGACGCATTACAGATATCATTAATTCGTTTTAGATATCTTTAATTCAATTTGAGATATCTTTAATTATGTTCAAGATATCATTAATAATTTTGATATCTTTATATCAATTGTTGATATCTTTAATATGATTTAAGTAACATGAAGGAACGGCAAAAGAATGATTCCGGTCCAAAAAAAGTGTGGGAAATGATTTACAGATATCGTCAAATACTTCCGGTCTGACTACATATCCGTAAATTCTTCCAGTTCCAAAATGGCGGCAAAACCAGGCCCAACTTGTGCAGGATTTGTTTCAAGAGCACGCCAAGCAATTCGCGCAGGAGTTGAGGGGACTGACTATGACAGCAGTGATCAATTTGAAAACATGGTCTCCGTAGTGAGAAGAAATTTTCCGCAATGGTTAGAAACATAACCCACAGTACTTAACAGACAGAATTACTTGAAGATATCTGCAAATAAGCGGAAGTCTTCAATAATGGCAAGAACTGAAGATATCAATAATTAATTATTGATATCTGTATTTAGTTTCAAGACATCAGGAATTGAATTACTGATATAACGAAACATGACTTTTTGTCGGCAAATAATGCCCTCCACAAAAGTTTGCAAGATATGCATATTACCCAGTAGCTTGTAATGATTAACATTATGTTTCTACTTTTCATAAATACAAGACGCCAACTTGTTAACCCATCCCCCAGACGCGAAAAAAAGGAGTGTAAGTACATATTATTTACATAATGCATTGAAGTTTTAAAATATTATCCTATGCACAAACTTGCCAACAATCGTACATGGATGACAATACCCCTGAGGATCCGGGGAAGAATATGTCTTCAGCAACCCATGCTTGCCGTAAAATGCGACTATGCTTGTCAGGCTCGTTGACTTGGTTGATGCATGTCATCGATCCAACATTGTGAAGATCGATGCTTATGATATCAATCACTGGATTGTCTGGTCCAGATTCAATTATTTACAGACAGCTGGAATATTGCTGAGTGCGGCGTTAAACAACAAACCAACAAACGAACATGGTTGAGAAACGTGTTTTCATGCAACGAAAATAATATTTCCCAAACTCATCTCGAGTTAAACAGCTCAAACAGTTTCTCAGTTTTAGAATGACCAACAGAAATGCTGCGGATTGGAGTGGATGAGTTTGGTCTAACGCCGCTCTGGAAATTATTTCAGTTATTTTGTCACGTGTCAGCTCTATGTGGGAGAAAAAACCTTAAGTGTCCCCGTTGCTGAAATGACCAGAATAAATGCTGTCATTAAAACACCACTCATATCATCTTCTTATTATTATCCTAACTCGTCATACAGTATTCTGTTATTGTTGTTTCAAATTATCGCAGACCTCGTTATCAATAGGAAAACCGAACCGTAGATTGTCATGACTACGTATACTAACGTGTACACGTGTTGATGCACAGACGGTGACTGAGTACACAGATCATTACCTTGTGACCATCACAACAGACCCAGAATGCCTGAAGGAAGGGACGTTCCGCACGGATCCTGTTGATGGAGACCCATATGTTGTAGAACTACAGAACAGTCAGAATGGGTAACCTTTTGTTTTGAGTTTATTCCTTGGTAAAGCGAATTTTTGACATCAATAACTATTAACACATTACCTGTCGGAAAGCCTGACATATCATAATATGTCATGTCAAAACGTGTTAAAACAAGTATTTGTCACAGAGTGACGAAATATCCCCCGCCATATACACCATAGTACCAAATATGAAGACAATCCAGCGATTAGTTCTTGAGATATTGTGGCAACACCGTTTTCCAACTCCAAAAACATGATTTGCCTGCTGTGACCTTGAAAATGGGGTCAAGGTCACCAAATCTGACAGGTGTATGCGGTGTCTGTATATACACTATAGTTCCAAATATGAAGACAATCCAGCGATTAGTTCTTGAGATATCGCGGCAACACCGTTTTCTAACTCCAAAAGCAGATTTGCCTGCTGTGACCTTGAAAATGGGGTCAAGGTCACCAAAACCGACTGGTGTCTGCGGAGTCTGTATATACACTATAGTTCCAAATATGAAGACAATCCAGTGTTTAGTTCTTGAGATATCGCGGTAACACCGTTTTCCAACTCTAAAAGCAGATTTGTCTGCTGTGACCTTGAAAATGGGATCAAGGTCACCAAAACCGACTGGTGTCTGCGGAGTCTGTATATACACCATAGTTCCAAATATGAAGACAATCCAGTGTTTAGTTCTTGAGATATCGCGGCAACACCGTTTTCCAACTCTAAAAGCAGATTTGTCTGCTGTGACCTTGAAAATGGGATCAAGGTCACCAAAACCGACTGGTGTCTGCGGAGTCTGTATATACACCATAGTTCCAAATATGAAGACAATCCAGTGTTTAGTTCTTGAGATATCGCGGCAACAAACAGGTGGGACGTACGGACGGACGGACGGACGGACGGACGGACGTACGGACGGACGTACGGACGGTCGTGAATACTATATCCCCCGCTTCGCGCTTTCGCGCGGCGGGGGATAATCATTAAGCTACCATATGTGTGACAGGTGTCATACGGAACGAGTTTCAGAAGTTTAAATAAAGTTTATGTAAGCATACTTAACTGTGTTCCCTTGCGCTCGAAATATATAACGTCAACGCCAGAGAATAACCAGTCTCGATTATCCGCTATGAAGATTTCATTGGTCATCAAAATCCTTATCTCTTGAACGGTATTTTAGTTTTGTCATCTCGTGTCAGCTTGATGGTGAATTATAGCCCAAATTGATGTAGATCTTAGACGGTTACTCCTTTATCGATATTTTTCTGAATGTTGTACTTTTCATGCTTCAGATATTCAAGCTTTAGTGAAACGCTAAGGCTTTCATGCGGAATTGCTTTAAACAGGAGCAACATTAAGCTGTCAAGGAAGAGAGGGAGGATTGAAGCTTGTCTTGTCAAGGATGCTGATGTGACCATGGGTGAACGTGTTTTGCCCTGGAACAAGCTCAACACAAACTCTGTAGTTGATCTGCCCAACTTTCCTCTCTCGAAAACCGGAAAAGAAACTTTAGAGACGTATGTTGCAAGCATGTGCCAGGTGTCTGCAGGGAATCTTTCGCCCATACAGCAGCTTAGATTTCTTGTGGAGCGGATCTTGATAACAGTCCCGTTTTCATCAGGGGTAGGTCTAATATTTGTGTGGTTAAACATGTATCTTTTGGTGCACCATTTTGGTAGTTTAGTTGGTTGGTTGGTTGGTGGGTTGGTTTGTTGTTTATCGCCGCACTCACCAATATTCCAGCTATATGACGGCGGTCTGTAAATAATCAAGGCTGGACCAGACAAACCAGTGATTAATATCATGAGCATCATTCCACGCAACTGGGATCGATGACATGCATCAACCAAGTCAGCAAGCCTGACCACCCGATCTCGTTAGATCTCTTACAAGCATAGTCGCCTTTTACGGCAAGCCTGTGTTACTGAAGACCTATTCTACCCCGGATCTTCACGGTTCGGTAGTTTAGTAGTCAGCTATGGTACAGTGTAGTACTTACACTGTACAGTGAATTGACGAAGTGTTAATAAACGGTACACACTATTTAAACATTTTGATAGTAAATGCCAGTTGTTTGTGAAATAAAAACTGATTTAACTGTAAGATACATTGTTATAACGGGATAAAAGATATGATAAGTGAGAAAAGGATACTGTCGTCTCTCAAGAGAAGTCATCTTTCCTTCAATATATGCATTTTAATATCAATTTAAATACTGGACCTTTAATCCAGCATTTGCTTGTTGTTTTCATAGGTACCAACACACATCACACTCAGAGCTCCAAGTCACTCACATCCTGCCAAGAGAGCAAGCAACATGCTTCGTTTGGAAGGTCTTAAGATCCACGAGGACAGACCAACTCTATTTTTGACGTTTTTCGATTTTGCCATAGCTGAGGAATTGGTTACCCAAACGAAAATAACGAATGAAGAAATCATGCCTTGGGAAGACATCAAGAAGACATGTGTGGAAATGGACCCATCTTCTCAACGCCTTAGCGAGGTAAACATTACTTATAAGAACAACAAGAGGTACATGTACTGTGTAATCTGGTTGATTATTTCAGGTTGTTTCATTCTTGCTGTTTTATATACATAAACCTTGTGGTCAAATATAAACTTACCTATTCTGCACTTATTTTCTTCTTTTTGTTTTTGTTGTTTAACACTACACTCAGCAATATTCAGCTATTTGCTCGCCCAGCTACATGCCCGCTGCCTGTGAATAAGTCTCAACCAGACAATCCAGGGATTGATTTTGTGAACAATGACCAACATCATTCTATTATGCAGTGAGGACAATAGGGAAAATGTGTGACTATACAAACCTTATCGCATATCGCTACTGAGGAATATTTGATTAGATAACCTTAATTTTAGATCGGCACATCATCATCATCATCATCATCATCATCATCATCATTACTTTTATGATTCAAATGGATGATTGTGCAGCGTTGTATGCTTTATCTCTGACAGGGATATGCTTTGTTGATGAGGATTCTAGAAATAAACTCCCACCGAATGATTCAAGATCAGTCTGAGGACAGGAGATGGATTACGAGAACTATCCTGAGAGGGAGGTATCCCTACACGGACCTGCTTACTTTGAACTGTGCTGCAGACTTGGGCAAAATGTTTAATTCTCTGTGTAAGTACATAGGAAAATGAGTAATGGGCTGAATTACGAACTATTTATGCAACAGGTGCTTCTCAGATGTGCGTTGCTAAGGTATAGTCCACAGTTCTTCATAAATGTTGTTGTTTTAGGTGTTCCCGACATATGGACATCAGGGCAATTTTCCCCGGTCAGTGGAGCGAGTTCTGGTTCGTTAGCCGCCAGGCCTGGTGAAGTTTGTGACAGCTGTGGCAAGATCTCAGAAAACTGTAAGAGATGTTCCAAATGTCACCTGGTGTTCTACTGTGGCAAAGCATGTCAGAGGAAAGCCTGGAAAGTCCACAAGAAAGTCTGTAAATCTGCCTAAACATATGCGCCTGCGTTGTTTTGTCTAGAGCTTCCCCTGGACAAACTATGTTTGTATATGATATACTGCGAGTCAGGTTAGAAGTGGAGGGTCCTGCCTTCGTATGAAAACGACTGCGTTTTAAAACATACAGACACAAAGGTATTTATGTCATACATGTAGGCACAACATTGAGAAAGTTAAGAAAGAACAGTTTTAACGTTCTAACGACAGTCTTGACTATTTGTAGGGGGCCTACAACAAATCCGGTGAACAATGACTTTTCTTTATGCAAATTGGAATTTTTTTATTTTGTTGCAATGAATTATTTTTAGATAGGATAAAAATGTTGTAACGTCGAATATCCAAGCATCAGCACATAAAATATGGCAAACAGTTGACAAGCTCCTACCATCACATCGGGCTGGAGAATGTTCCATGTGTATCTCAAACGGGGTAATTCAACAAATGAATGAGAATGAACAAACATGTCATCTCGGAATAATGCATAAATGTTCAATTTGTTTGGTCGTCTACGAGTATAAGCGCTAACAGTTCCTACTTTATACGTGCTATTAATCAATACCAATAGGTATATCTATGAAATAGTGAATGATTGAATATTATTTTACGATGGTTACGATGACATCCAGCCGTGCGATTACGACAGACTTTGGTACCAGGCATCCTGTATGGAATCCCAGTACAGAGAGCCTAGTAATTGACATATACAGTTTATCCTACCTTGCATAAAGGTACTCGTTTCGATTGGTTACTGAATTGGCAATTTTCCCCATGTACCACGCAGACAGATAAGGTACAAAGTTCATGTACGTAGCTGTGAATGCCAAATTTCTTACAAATGTGAATACAATGACATAATACTATTATATCAAACTGAACACCCGTGAAATGCAGTTCAGAGAAATTAAGCGATCATATTCGATTTTAATACAAGGGTTATAAATCTGAATGAATTTGTGCCGCCTGCTAGCTATCAATAGTTAGCCATACTGATGAAGACATGGGGGCTGCAAAATAAATTCGTTGTCAACCGGTCCCTCGGCGTATATAGACAGTGTTGCTGTACACTGTGAGCGAGGCTATGTCCGCCTCGACTTCCGGCTCGGAGTACATAAACTCGCACACACATTTCAGCACACTATGCATCCCTCGCGTCCACAACTAATACTATACCAGAACATTACATAGGTATTGATACTCCATTGTGATCCAAATCATTATTTTGCAAACGAATCTGCTAAAGGAACATTGAAATGTATTCAGTTAGGAATATAAATAAAATGTTTACATTCAAATTGCATTACACACTGTAAAGCAGGAAGTTGAATTGTGTGTAGTTGATTTTTTTGTCAGTCAAGTTTTAGATGATCATCTGGATATCCAGTTGATAGTAAAATGTTTTAATGGTATGGCGGAAGGCCTGGATCCTAAGAATAGTTTAGAACGTTCTGGAGGCCCAAATTGTGTATACAAACAATGATGCTAATTTCACTTTCAAGACTTGCTTTAAATATTTGAAGAACAGGTGAAACACATTTAATAAAAATGAGTGTATGTCAAATCAAACAAATATCACCATGAATAATACACGTATGCAAATAGACGTCTTTTATACAGAAAGCACGCTTTCCAGTGAACTGACGATTAATGATACCAGTATGTGCCTTCACAGTGTGGACCCCATACTGGAACTTTAATTTCTGTTTGAGTAACCAATTGTTATTTTCCATTTTTGTATTTTGGTCAATAAAGTCAGTAATAACGATTTCATTACGTTCTTTACCACATGAAGTATCAGAAATATATATATGTGTTACTTACCGGTGAAGAGATCACTCGTTTAATAAACATACAGCAGTATTACACATTGTGTATTAGCAAAGCACGTGCTTGTGTACTGCGGGAACAAGTTTCACGAACACGTGTTGAACACTCCCAACATCCCCTGGCTATTTCAACGGCATTGCGTGTAGAGGTAACAGATCACTTCTTTTCCTGTATGGGACTGTATATGTTATGAGGGGAGTAACTGCATCTGGCTACCTGTCTATGTGTGAGACTAAGTTTGTAAGGGTACAGCAGGCACGGCGTACGTCACGAGGGGATCTAGGCCTATCTGTAGGCATTTGTACAAGTAAGAAGAAAGCCAGTATAAGCGAGGAGGGCGTCCGGAGTAACCCTTTGGAGGCAATGCAACATTACACGGAAGAGTGAGTGAGTGAGTGAGTATGGTTACGCCGCTTTTAGCAATATTCCAGCTATATCACGGCGGGGGACACCAGAAATGGGCTTCACACATTGTACCCATGTCGGGAATCGAACCCGGGTCTTCGGCGTGACGAGCGAACGCTTTAACCACTAGGCTACCCGACCGCCCCTTACACGGAAGAAGAAATCCACCGTATACATTTAGTAACGAATAATACAAAGTTGCCAGAAATGAAAACTTGAACCAATTGTTGTTTCGAACTGCCGTCTTGGAGGTGATTATTACTTATTGCACATCAAAACGCATCGAACATACTCCATCACTTTCAATGGTTCCTAGCAAGAAGGCTGATTTTCTCTCTGTGAACACAAAAAGATCGATGTTGTTTCTCTCTCCCTTGACAACGAAGCATATGTCATTATGGTGAGCGCATAGTGTGGGCATGCGTGTGATGCACTGCATTGAGTATGCCAGAGTGTAACACTTATCTCTGCATTAATGTAAATCCTTACTTGACAACGGTATAAGGATCTGTATCAAACCGTCACCATGACAGCATACTAAAGACGTTGTTACCCCCTTAAAGTAGTTGTAACTGAATATCTTACTAAATGACCCATTTAATCTTAGTAATTCAAGGATAAGTAGCAAATGTTATACTATGTATTGTCATAATAAAGTATTTAATGTACGAATTGAATGAAGGGTTGAAAGAAGAACAGCACGGTCCTACTTTCAGTTTAAGTTCAATGTGGTTATCGGTCCTGGAAACATTTTAGGGCTTTATCTATCACTGTCCAGGTATCGACACAACTAGGTATGGTGCGTTCAGTCAGTCGATTTCTAGATAATGGGTGTTTTTATCTGGCACTGTCCCAGGCCAGCTGTATATAACCAGCGCGCATGTACTCAAAAATGATGTTAACCATCCAGTGAGAGAACTTTAATTATCTACTACAACGATGATCTGAATTGTTTTCTAAATTAACAGAAAAAAATAATAGATGCATGTGTGGCATATTTCACTAGTAAGAACATGTCTACATCACGTGCTTTGTGTATCCCTCTGACAAGTGTTGGAGGCAGTCGGGTGGCCTTGTGGTGAAAGCGTTCTCTCGTCACGCCGAAGACCCGGGTTCGATTCCCGACATGGGTACAATGTGTGAAGCCTATTTCTGGTGTCCTCTGCTGGAATATTGCTTAAATCGGCGTAAAACCATACTCACTCACTCACTCACAAGTGTGAAGTGACACGGCTCCCATCGCCGAAAGCTATGCACATGTTTATTATTATTATTATTATTATTATTATTATTATTATTATTATGATAGAGCGTACTTGAGTCTTTTTCGTGTTGGAAATCGTAGAGTTATCCCCCTTCATCCAAAACGAAACTAGGAAAGTGACATACAATTTCCAAGAAAAGAACCGCTTTTTTCATGAGCGACAGATAAGCGATATCTGGAAAAGGTGTGTGGCATTTCCCCAAGGAAGGTAAGAATTCTTAAACATATTTCAGGCATAATCCCACCTAAAACGTTTCTGAAGTTTGTGGCACTTGCATTGCTGACAGAGACACTGGGTGTTTATTTTACGTCCGTAGAGAAAACCAATACTTTCAGTAGGACGGCGTGTCTACACCAAATCACGACAATATCAATCCTAACGTCAACACCAGAGAATAATCAGTCTCGATTATCTGCCGAAACATATTCCATAGGGCATAGAGGGCAAACGCGATCGTTGTGATAAATATTATATGAAGTGATCACTGAAAATCAGTTATGTCACCAGGTGTTCACAACTGACCTAAATTTAAACAAGAGTTGACCTTGTCGACAGAGCAGTAGGCTTGTTATGCAAGTGGGTTATGTATTCAGCTCACATATCACAACGCACTTGTGTGAAATTTATACAGGTCATACGGCTCTTCCTCAAAAGTTGTTTGATCAATGTTAGAGAGCATTCGAAAGCCATATATGAGGTACGTAGATACGTAAGTATACGTATGTTTATTTCACTGTTCACTACAACACTGAACGCGAATGTACATTGAATCAATAACAGTAATCTTATCTGTCTCTGCCCACGTATCAATACAACTATGTATGACGTATCGATCTCTAGATAACGGGTAAAGGTGATTTAACTGTATATCAGGACCGGATCTGGAGTAACTATACGTAGGTACAGCAACATGTACAAGTAAGAAGTCCCTGTATATCAGGACCGGATCTGGAGTAACTATACGTAGGTACCGCAAAATGTACATGTAAGAAGAAAGTCCCTGTATATCAGGACAGGATCTGGAGTAACTATACGTAGGTACATCAACATGCACAATTAAGAAGAAAGTCCCTGTATATTAGGACGGGATCTGGAGTAACTATACGTAGGCACAGCAACATGTACAAGTAAGAAGAAAGTCCCCGTATATCAGGACGGGATCTGGAGTAACTATACGTACATGTAGGTACAGCAACATGTGCAAGTAAGAAGAAAGTCCCTGTATATCAGGACGGGATCTGGAGTAACTATACGTAGGTACATCAACATGCACAAGTAAGAAGAAAGTTCCTGTATATCTGGACGGGATCTGGAGTAACTATACGTAGGTACAGCAACATGTACAAGTAAGAAGAAAGTCCCCGTATATCTGGACGGGATCTGGAGTAACTATACGTAGGTACAGCAACATGTACAAGTAAGAAGAAAGTCCCTGTATATCAGGACGGGATCTGCAGTAACTATACGTAGGTACAGCAACATGTACAAGTAAGAAGAAAGTCCCTGTACATCAGGACGGGATCTGGAGTAACTATACGTAGGTACAGCAACATGTACAAGTAAGAAGAAAGTCCCTGTATATCAGGACGGGATCTGGAGTAACTATACGTAGGTACAGCAACATGTAGAAGTATGAAAAAAGTCCCCGTATATCAGGACGGGATCTGGAGTAACTATAGGTTGGTACCGCAACATACACAGGTAAGAAGAAAGTCCCTGTATATCAGGACGGGATCTGGAGTAACTATAGGTAGGTACAGCAAAATGTACAAGTAAGAAGAAAGTCCCTGTATATCAGGACGGGATCTGGAGTAACTATACGTAGGTACATCAACATGCACAAGTAAGAAGTAAGTCCCTGTATATTAGGACGGGATCTGGAGTAACTATACGTAGGTACAACAACATGTGCAAGTAAGAAGAATGTCCCTGTATATCAGGACGGGATCTTGAGTAACTATATGTAGCTACAGCAACATGTACAAGTAAGAAGAAAGTCCCTGTATATCTGGACGGGATCTTGAGTAGCTGTAGGTACATGTAGGTACAGCAACATGTACAAGTAAGAAGAAAGTCCCCGTATATCTGGACGGGATCTGGAGTAACTATACGTAGGTACATCAACATGCACAAGTAAGAAGAAAGTCCCTGTATATTAGGACGGGATCTGGAGTAACTATACGTAGGTACAACAACATGTGCAAGTAAGAAGAATGTCCCTGTATATCAGGACGGGATCTTGAGTAACTATACGTAGCTACAGCAACATGTACAAGTAAGAAGAAAGTCCCTGTATAGCTGGACGGGATCTTGAGTAGCTGTAGGTACATGTAGGTACAGCAACATGTACAAGTAAGAAGAAAGTCCCTGTATATCAGGAGGGGATCTGGAGTAACTATACGTAGGTACAGCAACATGTACAAGTAAGAAGAAAGTCCCTGTATATCAGGAAGGGATCTGGAGTAACTATACGTTCCTGTAGGTACAACAACATGTGCAAGTCAGAAGAAAGTCCCCGTATATCAGGACCGGATCTGGGATAACTATACGTAGGAACAGCAACATGTGCAAGTAAGAAGAAAGTCCCTGTATATCAGGACGGGATCTGGAGCAACTATACGTACATGTAGGTACAGCAACATGTACAAGTAAAAAGAAAGTCCCTGTATATCAGGACGGGACCTGGAGTAACTATACGTAGGTACCGCATCATGTACAAGTAAGAAGAAAGGCCCTGAACATCAGGACGGGATCTGGAATAACTATACGTAGGTACCGCAAAATGTAGAAGTAAGAAGAAAGTCCCTGTATATCAGGACGGGATCTGGAGTAACTATACGTAGGTACAGCAACATGTGCAAGTAAGAAGAAAGTCCCTGTATATCAGGACGGGATCTGGAGTAACTATACGTAGGTACAGCAACATGTACAAGTAAGAAGAAAGTTCCTTTATATCTGGACGGGATCTGGAGTAACTATACGTAGGTACAGCAACATGTACAAGTAAGAAGAAAGTCCCTGTATATCAGGACAGGATCTGGAGTAACTATACGTAGGTACAGCAACATACACAGGTAAGAAGAAAGTCCCTGTATATAAGGAGGGGATCTGGAGTAATTATACGTAGGTACAGCAACATGTACAAGTAAGAAGAAAGTCCCTGTATATCAGGAAGGGATCTGGAGTAACTATACGTTCCTGTAGGTACAACAACATGTGCAAGTAAGAAGAAAGTCACTGTATATCAGGACCGGATCTGGAGTAACTATACGT